GCTAGAAACACTAATTAGAAATAGTTCCCGCATCATCAAGAACAATAGGGAAGGCTTGAAGTGAATACAATAATCTAAACGGTTTTGTAATCCATGTGAAGACACTTTTAAAATTGCCTGTAGAAATATTAAAGGCAAAAGTTCAACTTTTTCACAAGACGGATGGCTATAAACCTATTCAAAGTGTGACAACTCAGCCGGTATATCGTCGCCTACAGCCCAGCTTTCCCTAGTGACCGATAGAGGCGCTGCTATCGATGTCCGCCCGTGCCGCCTAACGCATGCGCCGTGTAAATTGTAGACTGAGTGCTATGAGCTATCAAAGGATTATCTGGTGTTTCAACAGGGGTCGCTGACCTAAAAATTAAGATGGTTGCTCTTGATACGATCGAATGCTTGGTGATATGATGATTAGCGCAAGAGAAATATTTAATCGAATTATGACCGGTTATTTTTTGATAAAGCAAAAACTTTTTTCATTTTTTTTTTTTGGCATTAACGGGAAAGCGTTAAGCCATATCTACTGAAAATCTTAACCTGCGCCGGGCCGGGGGGGGCGATTTGCGCCCCCCCAGGTTTTTCGCAGATAGCCGAAAAACGGCGGCGTGCAGCGCCACCAAATTTTGCATACCTGTTTTTCCATCTATTGCGCATACTGTGTGCGAATTTTGACCTTATATGACTTAAGGTCAGGTCAACAGGTCGGTTTGAGTGACCTAACGTCACAAAAAGTTTGAACTTGCACCAAAGCTACAACTGTTGACCGATCGATATGAAACTTTCAGGAGTTAGTAAGGGTGACAATATCCACAAAATGTATGTCTCGGATTTTTTTTTATCTATGACCTGAGGTCAGGTCAATCTCACAACCTCCCCATTATAAGTCAATGGGATAAATTTCAACTTCATCTGAATGCCACCCGATCCACACAATATATTCAGGATCATGGTGTTGCAGGACCCTGGTCCCGGCATCTCAAACCTAGAGCGACTACACTCAAGTTCAAGCTAACGGTCTCCACTCTCCAATTCAGATACCTATCGAAACCTTTCCGCGACCCGGTGCTGTGGCTCAATCAGTGGGCCAGCTGGCCGCAGACCATACCCGCAGGGCATGAACCTTTGACCATATTAGGTCAACACGCCTTGGCCCCAGCCCGCTCGCCAGGTCCGCGCTCATTGGCCGACGCGGCAACCGCACAACCTGTCCCCTCCCCTCCGTAGTACTCGCAGCGGCCGGCGGATTCAGCCAAGTTACCGACCTGCCCAGCGAGGGGAGGGCCGGCCGGGAAAGATACATATTTGACCGACTATACATCCCTTCTCAGACTAGCTACCTACGTCAGCACCACTGTCCCTCCACATCTACAATTGTCTTACATCTACGCCACTACCTCACCGACGCCTCATCGCGCCACGTTCGCCCCAGAGCTCCTGCGGCAGCGGTGTTTTCCATGTCGGCACATGTGTTCCATTGTGGCGGTGCGCCGCGCTGGGGCACTCGACAGGTCGTCAGCTGGGGCCTCACTGGGGCAGGTGTGCTCAGAGGAGGTCATTTGGAACGGGAGCCTGATTAGCATGGGGATGGGCATGGAAAGAGGAAGAAAGAAAGAAAGAGAGACAGAAAAGAACCATTTATCAAACAACATATATGCTAAAAGAAATCCTCTAACTCAAGGCTATTGAGATCCCTTGATTTTTTCACTTCGATAACTGCTATAACATTTCAAGGTAAATATTTTCATTTCAAGAATATGATATGAACAAAAACTGCTCATAAATGATACCTTCTTATTGTTATAGCTACAAAATGAACAATGCACATCTCATTCTAATATAATATGGTATTTCATTTCTACATAATTCCTTTGGTCTTAATTTTGCTTTATTTCGTTTTCCTAAATATGGCCAAGCCTGGTTAATGACTAAGGCGGCTTCTGGGATATCTTTGTTATGCGCCACTGCAACACTGATGAGAAATACAGGTTGACGATGGGGGATGGGGGGGACATATTTTGTACCTACACCGGCTGAGGTAAGCCTGTTATGCAGGCAAGTTTGCTCTGGCAGCCACTCAAGCAAATCGAATTTCACGTATCCATTTGCTATTTGAATTTCTAAATAGGTGCTACATCTATCATGCATATCGAATCACACGGCAAATAGCGAGGCTATGCATATGTGCATTTTGATGTTACACCTTTCACCACGCTCTTTTCCCGGAGACGCGGTCCCATTACTTCCGAACCAGTGACGTCTGGGACGTAGTAAGGCCTCGTCGCCTGCTAGCCGCGGAATCCTGGGACGCTGGGCCAGGCCGGGTCATGTCGTGTCAGGCTGTGTCAGGTCGGGTCAGGCTGGATCAGGTCGGGTCAGGCTGGGTCAGGTCGGGTCAGGTTGGGTCAGGTTGGGTCAGTGCAGGTCAGGTCGGGTCAGGTCGGGACGGCTCAGTTCTGAGCGGTAGGTTCCCAATCCGCACTCTATCCCTGTGTTGTTGTTTTTGGGGCTCTGTTGGTGCAGCGGTGCGTAGCCGTAGCATTCTTATCGGAACTACCAGCCGAGGTTGGAGGGAGAGAGGGAAAGACAGGGAGAGAGAGAGAGAGAGAGAGAGAGAGAGAGAGAGAGAGAGAGGAGTGAAGAAAGACAGAGAAAGAGGACTCCAATCCGGTTGCAGCTGTTGGAAAATCAGGACAGACAGGCCTTCGACAAAATGTCGACTCGGCTCGAATCAGGGCTGACATAAACACGCGAGTTCTCCAAATGCTCCATGCACGGAATACAAAAGGATTCGCTATTCTGAACCCCAAGGTTGTTTTACTTGAGAGAAAACAGCTTGGTTCCTTGCTTTTTCACCTCACACACACACACACTAACCAGATTCATTCATTGCCACTTTCGTGTGCCGCTACTATCATTTATCAGCTGGGTCAAGTATCAATCAGCAAATCAATTTGTCCATATTTGCATAGCTCTCATTGTGCGACCTATGACGACCGGACCGCGCCTCTCCTCACGTCTGACATCATTTCTCAAAATTAATAGACATTTATCGGAGATCGCCCTTCCCTTCGCTAAGCGTGATGAATCGCAGACTGATCATCAGCGCTTGTTCCAGAAGTCGCTGTTTTAATTTATTTCCTCTGGTTGTGTGTCGTCTCTCCTCAGAGGTCTCCCGCCTCGTGTGGCGACTTTCTATGTGAGGCACCTCGTGCTGAAGTGACATGCCCCCAGTGCCGTCAGCTTGTCTTACCATGCACCACGCCGAGCAGCATCAGATAACTCCCGGTGATTGTGTCAGCTGAGGGTGCCCGCGTGCCATTTGGGGCAGCCGCTGCAGCTGCTGTGAGTCGTGATCGGTCTGCATAACGAGCACGGTGGTGGTGACGGCCGCGGAGAGTTCAGAGGGTCGTGGGGAGCGGGCGGGGCCTCTGAGGCTACCCAGACAGTCGGTGACCGGAGATGGTATATCGGCGGCGGCGGCAGCGGCGCGGCGGCGGCCGTTGTGGCGCGATGTGCCGAACCAGCATCAGACAGACGTACCGCGTGCCGCCGCGATGCCCAGCCGAGCCAACTGTCGCACTCATTTGAATGCGGTCGCATGCATAATAAATTAGAGGCGACGTTCGATTGGCCGACCGGCGGCGTCTTGACAGGCCAGGTCCGGCAAGGTCGGGGGTCCGGACGGAGGGGGGGGCAGGAGGGGGCGATAATGACCTCAGGGTGTCATCAACAATACCAACCGGACACCCGGCCGGCCCCAGCCCTGTGACTATCACGTGCTAATGTTGTGGGGCATGGGAAGACTCAGGCGTCAGCGGCAATCGGATTACATAACGCCTTTGCCCTGGTCCTGCGGTGAAGGGACGCCTTCCGTCTCGACTCGTCAAGATCAAAGGAAGTGCTGAGAGGGTGGCGCTTTTGGAGGATCCGTTGTCTGGCTTCCTAAGCTGTGATATACATAATTGATGAACTCTATAAATATGTCTGGAAAAAGAAAAAACGCCGTGGCGTGATGTGTTTGGCAAAGGTTGATATGCGGACGGCGCGGCGTCACGTAATATTTTCACCGGCCCAGAGATGGCGCTAGTAGTGAGCGCCTGCACGTATACTGTGCCGCAGTGGCAGGTACTGGGGTGGCTATAATCTGGAGCAACAAAATCACTTATTTTTACCAACCCCGTCCATTGTCTCCATCCTCAGGGAGCTGAAATCCTTCTCCTCCGCGCCGCAATCCCCACTCCAGGCTGGACAGGCAACTTTATCTCATGCGGGCTGCTCCCTTGAAGCGGCACCGCTACTCCCGAGGGAGCGCACCCCGTAGCCGGGTGCAGAGAGTGCCTGGGGGGGCCATTCGGACGGGCTCAGCCCCGGCGACTCTCTATGGTGCCTGCCCACTGCCCAGACCAATGTCTTCCCCTAATTTCTATAATCCTTCCGGCTCTGAAATGGTCGTATCAAACCGAAAGGGCCAAACCCAACAAAACATGCCAAAACAAACAATCGCCGTTTTCAAATGTCTTTAGTGTCATGTGGGATATTTTGGATGGGTTGATGGTCCTTGACCATGCAATAAACACTTGTATTTTTAGCATTGTACATATGACGACAATGATTGCAAAATATGATATGAATACATACATCAGTCACAACACAGAAGAATTGTCTCATCTCGAATGCGCATCGTTGCAAAACATCAGACATATAAATCCAGTAACAGTATGGTAGTTTAGAGAAGCAATCCCAACAAATAATGCTGGTAAATGCCGCACCTACTAAGAGTAGTTTGTTTTATGCCACGTCTACCGTTGCATAACCGCTGGGAATAGGCACATCAGGCCATTTTAGTTCAATTAATTTACAGGCATTTAGAAGCAACATTATTTTCAGCCTGCTCACTCTCAGAATACGCTTTCCTTATCCCGTAAAAAGCCCATTAGCAACGAATGAATGACCGTCGAGATTCCGGCACAATTCATTAACTGAGTCTCTCCTTGTTGCAGGAATTATGGCGGAGATGTGTCCAGAGGAACTGGAGTGCCTGGAGCGCTATCGGAATGCAGAGATGCCACCCGGTAAGAATACCCGAGAAACTCTGTGTTTGCAGCCTGCAATGACCCCAACATTGTACTAGCTTCGCAATGTCTAAAGTTCAGGCTGCGCCTTTCCTTGGTTTGTAAATGAGCTGCTTGTCTTTAGCTGTGTCACAGATAACAGTAGTACTACTGTTATCTGTGGCTGTGTGCAGAAAAGTCACTCGACCGCCAGTTGTTGAACTTGTTTTAAGGTCGAGTGCAGCGGTCCGGCCTGGCCTTTGGGTGTGTTCCGTTTCTCGAGTTGGGCAGTTGCACGGCTGGGTGCTCGCCCTACAAGTGGCCTATTCATCCTGGATAAGTTAGTTTTGAAAACTGAAATCATTGCGGGCAAAGCGGGAAAAGAAAAGTGGATGTTATAAAAGCTTGCCTAGATGAATAGCTATCACCACCTATTATTTTTAAAATCGTCTATGAAAACCTTATCTCTTTCCATCACTTTCCTTCACACACCACAACACTCGGTTCATAGCCTCTGCGCAGGGCCCGCTGATATTCATCCCTGTGTCTACGATGCGCGAACGCCTCCATTACGGCTGTATGGGCCGGTGGCGGGCCTGTTCCGCTCCTGAGCGCAGCCCGCTGCGCTACCCCGGGGAATTTCCGCAGCACTTCCTCATAGAACAGAGCCACGGCGCCGGGAAGCCAGAGCGAGGGGAGGCGAGAGGTCGGAGAGGCGCTACAGGTGATATAGCTGCCATCATGCGGGCCCGACCTTCAGAGGATCTGTTTGCGGAACTCATGGATTCAACTAGTTGCAGAATGGCGCTGCAAAATTGGTAGTCGAAATGGGTAAAATCGACTCTTCCGCATTGCAATGTGATGCGAAATGATGACATACATCAGCTTCATGTGAATTTTCAATCTGCAATCGATGCAGCTTGAGGAAGTCATGAAATTATGCATCGCTGTAGTCTATACCCGCATGGAGGAACACTCTAGGACATGGGAACATGTCCGATATCCGGAAAGGGGTCGTGACTCATGACCATTGCCCACTGGCTCACTGGCCTACTGGTTATACTTTGCCTACTGGCTCATCAAAAATAAAATGAATAAATGATATGCCGCGTCGCATCAACCACAGACAGCGGCTTGATCAGAGTCCCTGGTGAGATCCATGGCTTGGCGAGACTTCCGCCTCAGGACGACGCCAGCCTAGTTTTATTTTCTAGCCCGGATGTACTGAGCTGTATACTTATTTTCAGTCGCCCGGCCTCCTGGGCCGTTAGTGCTAATATCGGCTGCAGCGCCGGCCGTGCTGTTTATATCTGCAATATCCGCTCCGACCGTCACCGTCTGCCATGGAGAGGCAGTCGGCCGTTTTATGAGTAAACCCTTGACGTGAAATATCGCTTTCTTCTATTTGGATGCTGGACTTTTGTGGCACCAGAATGACTGTGATCATAACGCCCGATCGGTTATAACATCTGTGCATGATATCATAAGCATTTCTTGCGGCAGCAGAAAGTTTGCATGTGACCTCATTCATGTCGTCATTTTTGCCGTTTCATTGGATGTATTTGCTATGAAGCTCATGACCCCCTACGCACTAGATTCGTTTGCCAAAGTGATCACTGCATATTCAATATTCATACACAGGCAATGCATAATAATTACCACAAGCATAACCATTGAGATCGTGCCTAATCAAGATGAAGTGCGGGCCGCTAAGCCCACAATTCACGATTACGACCTACATTATGGGAAGAAGCTGTAGCTTGCAGTGCACCATTTGGATTTCTGAAAATTCGGTGCATTTATCCCAACTCGAAAGGAAATGCGGACATAATTACGTTCATAAAAACTTTCAGATCTTTGCACGAACTCTCAGTGGTGCGGTTACCGCAATTTTAGAACTTAGAACTTCGCACGGAATGAATTACAGTCAAACCTGGAGTCTCTCCGCTTCAAAACATCGTCCAAAAATATTTGATGGGTTCTCATTTGCAGAATAATAACAGTACACTACGCGTCTCTAAAGCCGTGTTTATCATCTTAAGGCCGGAACACAGCACTCGCTTGCAAATCGCGTCGAACTCGCGTCAAGCGCGGAAATCGCTTCGTTCGCTGTGTTTTCACTTGCAATTCAGCTCACAACTCGCGTCGAAAACGCGTCCCGCTTGGAAAACGCTTTGCGCTCCCAACTCGCGGCTGAAACGCGTTGATTATTGATTACACTTGACCTTTGCACGTGACATCTTAGCATATCCATGCGTCTGTTTCATGATAAAATTTTATGCGGCGTTCTTTCGATGAAATTTTTTTTAGCTTTGGTATTTTAAATGACGTTCTCCTCGATCATTGATTAAAATCAGCACAGGTTAAATGTTACTTTCTTTTGTAGGAAATTCCTTAAAAACAGTTGATGCCATGCCACACAGGTAGTTCATCATACCACATTGGAACTTAACTATAATTTGTTCAGTCAATTTTAGTATTTTAGTCAGTATTTGTTTGCCACGTATCATGGTCACAATCGGTTATTCAGAAGTTTTTCAAACGAATACATCACCGCTCTTCCAAATCTAAAAACTGTTATCGTTCAATCTAATCTAGCAATTCATTCAATCTAATAATCCAACGATTACCATCCGTAAGTAAACTACATGTCTCTCCTTTTGCGTTATGCAAATCACAGGACACTGGCGGATCCAGCTCAGAGTTTTGGGAGCGGCAAACCATAACAGTTAGCGTTTCTTTCCATGCACCGTCTATAGGCGTAATGTTAAAATTTTGCCGTTTGGGAGGGGCAAATGCCCTACTTGCTCTCCCCTGGATCCGCCACTATCACAGGATATACTTAACCCTCGCCCGCACATGCCATTTTCCCATCCTAGAACGCACATGGGGGGGGGGGGGGTGCTACCCTCCCGCGCCATTTCGTTCCTGTTGGAGATAAAGCTTCGCGGTAGAGACCAAAAAGATTCTTTGGGAAGAGACAAATTCAATGATACCCAGTTTTACCTTATCCCTCGCCGGCACAGGGGGGGGGGGTTGATGCAACCCCCCTAAGGTTTTTCGCGAATAACTCGCGTAAAAAGCGGCCGATCGCGACGAAACTTTCAGTACCCTCGCATTGCTCAATTTTACACCTACCCTGAAAATTTCATGACCCTGACCCAAATGACCTTTGACCTGTGACCTCTTTCCCGAGACCATGTTTGGCCGGAATCGCGATTCGGCGTATGTCGGCTCGCATTAGCCGCGCGTTTGCAAGCTTTTCGTGGTTTCAAACGTTCCAACATGTGATTTGATGTTGCTCCCATACATTAGGGTGGGTGTCAAGGTCACCTGAAGGTCAGGTCAGGTCATTGACCTTTGGTGACCTCTGGTGACCTCGTTTCACTTTTTGAGTTTTACATGTTTCTAGGCTAGTTTTTGGAGCTGAATTCGTATTTAGCAACCATTTGAACATTTACGAAGTAGTTTTGGTGCCTTCGTAACATGTTACGAAGCTGTCCGAGGCGGTTGACACCTATTACGAATACCCGTCACAACCCCTACCGGTTGACCTGACCTGACCTGACCCGACCTGGTCTAAATGCCTAAAGACATCATCTCTGATCAAAACTAACACGATATTCGTGATCAGCACCCCGGAAAACCACATAGAAGCCACACTTTACGACTTTCTAACAGGTCACGATTTTCCCGGTTTTCGGGTCATTGACCTGACCTGGAAGGTCACCCGATGACCTAGGACCTTAAAATTGGGTACCATCGGCTTCCTCTCGTGACGGGCAACACGCTCGTTTTTTTCCGCGAAGCTCTAGCTCGATCAGGGGCCAAACGCGAGGGGGGGTCGTACCAACCCCCCCCCCTTGTGCCGTCGAAGGACGCAAAATGGCCTGTGCCGGCGAGGGTTATCAGGTCAGTCATTGACCTTCCAAGTCAGGTCAAACTAAAAAATGTTGCTGTTTTGGGTCACCGTTGGATATCAAGTGCGCTGCTCATCATATAGGTACCGATGACGATGCCGTTTTGTGGTGCCAAGCCAGCTAGAACCTCTTTGTCACACTATCCGACCAGGTTTTTGCTGCTGAGGTCATTTCAAGTCAAGTTAGGTCAAGGTCAATGCTATGTGTTTGCATGTCTGTGAGTGTATGTGTGTGTACTGATGTGTGCACCGATTGTTTAGTTATGTGTCCATATTACATGAAATCATGAAATGAGAAGGTTTTACCAAAAATACAGTCAAAGAAACTTCACGAAAAGTAAATTCAGCTTGCCTAAATTGCAATGATTTTAGATGACATAGGTTGACCTTGACCCTGACCTTGACATCTGTACATCGTCGAACAACATGTTCCATGGTAGGTAGGTGGAAGGTAAGACTGGCAAAAAGGCCGAAATCAAGGTGTCAAAAGCTGACAAGACCCATAGCCAACGCAAGATATTAGGTATTTGTCATTTGGGTCATGACATGACCTGAAGAACAAGGTCATATCTCCGAAACCAAAAACCACAGAAACTTAACATTTTTCAGTGGACATCAAGAAAGGATAGAGGAGCAGCTATACGAAACCAGGCTTCTAGCTCTAAAAATGTTGAGTGCAGAGCAGAAAAACTACCTGGGGGGGGGGGGGAGGATGGCAACCTCCTCCTCCCCCGATGTGCGGGCGAGGGTTAACATGACATTGCAGTCTTATTTAACCCGCGCCCCTGTTTAACCCGCGCCCCCGCTGTAGCTCGAAATTGGCGACAATACTTCTGCACTCTCTCAAGGCTGGCAGGTGTAGCATTCATTTTACTTTCTTATACAGCAAGCTGAAAATGATAGAGCAACTACTTATGCTTGAATTTTGTCGTTCTACAAAGGTCTGCAAAGCGGCTAAGTTGCCCCGCTAGCAGGGTTATTTGGCCGGTGGGGTAGAGCAATTTGGCCGGTGTTAATTTGAGGCCTGGATTTTATGTTACGGGCAAGTCAGCTTCAGCGCCATCAATGACATGTGTCCTTAACGCATTTTTAGGCTGACTCGATGTCGGACTTATCTTCGAATGATTTTGACTCAGGTCTTATTTCAGCATTTTCCTGCACAACTGAAAATGCGCTTCCTTAGCATACACTGCTAAATCAAACATTTGCATTTTATTTGTGGTGAAAAAAACGTTAACTGTTTATTCTAGTCAGGAAATAATCGACTAATTTCAATTAAAAAATTCTTAGCAATCAAAGAAACTACTCAGCTCAGTCTCAAATCCTCACATCTCATAGGCCTCCGATGTCTGCAAACGAGTTGTTAATAGTGTTTACTAGCTGGAGATGTGACTATCAGTTTGGTTTGAGCAGATCCCTAGCAACTTCGTCGTGCTGCTTTGAGCTGCGTCTTGATGAGCGCCTAGGAGACAGACTGTGCCGCCATGCCACCGCCAACGGCTATAAACTCAACCAGCTCGGTACGACGACCTTATCATTACATAGGTGGCGGAACCGGGAACGGAGGGGGGGGGGGCACCGGCCCCCCTTGATTTTGCCATTGTAACATAAGCCCTATGGGTGTTGCATGGAAAGAATGGGCAGTGCCCCCCTTAATTGAAGGTGTTTCGCCGCTACTGCTTATCAAGTCGGCCGTTCCAGCATAGCGATCCTGAGAGCACCGTCAAAGCTGTTCCACTAGCACCGGCAAAATTACCCCGCATTGCCATTCTGAAAAGTTTTGTCTACAAAGTCGTTGTGGTTTTACGGAAATAGATGAAATTACTCTTGAAAACGCTGAACATCTAAGCAATGGGACCACAATGTCAAAAATTGTCTACAGCCCGATTTTTACATGCCAGGCATATAATTTTTCGAACGGAAGCAAAAGTTACAATTTTCTAATCAAATTTATGTTTACTGATTTTGAAGAAAATTACGAAGGGGAGGTTTTTGAAAAAAAAAATCCACGGATTCCTCATTTTATGTTGACCGCAGTACAAGATATGTGTTAAGATTTCTTTAAACATCGAAACATAAAATTAAACAATTTAATACATTTTACGTATAAAATTGTCAATCAAATGAATACCGATGTGCTGAAAGCAGGAGACCACGCCGGTATTTAGTTAAAATTGCCGTAAGCCAAGGTGCTTTATTTGGTTTCCATGGTTACTGACGCTATTACGCTTGTATTTCGCGAGCAGAGAAGCTGAAAAGTTGAAACAGATTCAACTTTTCAGCTTGCAACCCGCGCCGGACTGATTTTGCTTGCGTTTCGCTCGCGTTTCGCTCGCGTTTTCCGAGCGGGATCCGGCGTGATTTCGCGGCGTAAAAGCGAGACGACCTGCGTGTTGGGAGCTGAAAATATGCCATGTATTGCAATGGGGGAAGCGAGACGCGATTTGCGAGCTTAAAAGCTGTGTTCCGGCCTGACTAGAGTCGTAGGTCTGGAGCTATTCCATAAAATGATATTGTATGTAGAGTGTGCATGACATGACGTTTCACCGGCAGGTGCTATCGATGACATTGCAAAGCGTGTCTGACGTTGACCCGTGTTCCGCCGGCAGGTGCTATCCATGATATTGTGTAACGTGTTTGACCCGTGTTCCGCCGACAGGTCTGTTTTGTAACGCCACGTTCGATGACGTGCTGTGCTGGCCTCCGACCCCAGCCAACACATCCGTGTCCCAGGCCTGTCCCGGGACCATGAAGGGCGTCGATCTCAGAAGTGAGTCACAAAACTGCGTGTGGTGATGGTGCGGTACTATAAATGTTACTAGGTATTATCAAAACTTTGGCTGTGGTTTGTAAAGGTAAACAATAAAACATTTTCTCCGCTGACAGCCAGCATAATTTTTTTTTTCTAATAGTCCGTTACCCATGATCAGGCAACCAGGAGTGCCCCCACCCTCAGTCCCAGCGACGCACAGAACCCTTACGTTAACACCAAAATCAAAATCAAAGTAGAAAAAGTCGCGACACTCCCTGCTAAGAAGAGGAAAAAAAAAAACGTAAAAGAAGCAGAATTGACTACGTATGATATTATTTAACTTGGTTAGTAGATACAGAGAGCCATAGTTAATGCCAAATCCAGCATAAACTGTCCGCTAAGGGTTCAATCGCACATCGTTAGTGAGGAACACGCACACACTCACTTGGAAGGGGACATTAGTGGGGTAAATCAGGTCTGGTCTAATTCATGCATATTGTCTTGCCATCCCTCCCGATGCCCTCCAGCTAAGCCGAGCTTGTTGCAAGCTCGGCTTAGCTTGCAACTAATTTGCGAACGTTTGGGGCATTAGTCAGGGCATGCTTCTCATGCAGTGGAAAGGTTGCGTGGGCAGACTCATGACAGTGCAGGAGACCATGGATAGGCATTCTCGCCCTTGATGGTGCGAACATGATGAACGTCTGTCATCATGTAGAATGAAAATGGGGGCGCGGAAAGGCGTCGGAGCTGCTCAAGCGCCCGCACAGCACCTCAATTTGAATTCCAGGCCTGGGTGGGCCAGGCATTTCTCTGATGAAATTCGGAAGAAAGATTCCAACAATTCTCCATTAAGGTGAAAGGTGACTGCTAAAATATGTGCGCATAGTCAAGCAGCTTCATGAAGTTCAGTAGCGTGAGTTATTGATAATTCGAAGCAGAAATGCGTGAAGCTTATTGCTTATCACATTAACGAAATCCATTTGGAATGATTGCGCATTCCCCTATAAGTCCATCGCTGGGACCAGTGAGTGCCCATGTGGTCACATGTATTTCACCAACAGACACTAACACCTGTCATTGTTTGTTGACACTGACACTGACACCTTTCATTAACAGCTAACACCACTTCCCTTTGGCAGAGCTGGTACACAAGGTCTGTCAGCCGGACGGCCTGTGGGAGTATCAGACAGAGAACGACACCAGCGGGACGACCAACTACGCTACCTGCTACACCGAGGAGATGCTGAACATGATGATCAACCTGGCGGCAGGCGCTCCCGGTGACAGCCTGGTGAGGAACAGTGCTCATTAGTCCAGGGCGTGCTCACTGAGTCCAGTCCGGGCCTGGTGGGGAACAATCCCTGTCCGGGTCTGTAGGCTTCCAGTGCGGGCCCGGTGAGACTAGTCTCTGCGCGCTTGGCTGGTTAGATCAGGCTCATTGAGTGTGTTTTGTGAGATCCACGTTACCCAATATTGATTGTGCTGTTTTCAGACTGAATGATGTGTTTTATGTTTTCAGAAAAAGATCCACGTCGCCAAGAACACCCGTCTGCTGGAGGTGGCCGGACTGTCTCTGTCTCTGGCCAGCCTCTTCGTGTCGCTATTCATCTTTTTCCACTTCAGGTATGCTGAAACCTCCTACAGACATGGATGTTTTTGTACTCCTACTTGCATGGTGTTTTTGTCACGACCCACGCGTGCTACAATGTTTCTTTTGTGGGGATAACAGCTTTTGCAATGGAGATCCGGCTGCCAAGTCCTCCAATTTATTGAAACTCCGGTTGTGATATCCTCCTAAAACGGATAATGGCTTCTGTAATGGAGAGTTACCTGTGATACGTTACTGTAATGACAACAGTCTCTCTAACGGACGGGAGACTCTATGACGGATAGCTCAGCCTCAGCAAAGGAGCTCCGGCTGTGATACCCTCCTATAACGGATAGCTCAGCCCCAGTAATGGAGAGCCGGTCAGGGCGGCACGGCGGCGATGGGTGGCCGTTCATCAGCGGTGACACCTCGGCTGGTGTCGTTACCTCCTCCCGGCTGCCAGGTCAGCACCCCACTCCGCTCCTCCTCTCCCCTCTCCTCTCCTCCTCTCCTCTTCTCTGACGTTTGTCTACCCTCCCCGCCCCCCGGCGACTCCGCTCACCCCCTCTCTGGATATCCAGTAGAGGTGATGATGTCCACCAGACTACCCCAGTCTGTGGTCGCTGGGGGCCCAAAAACTATCAGGTCATGCTGGGTCAAATGTTTACTGGTGTATGTGTTTCAGCAATGCTTTGATTCATCGAGCTAATGATATCAACCCTATTAAGCTCTGTGGGGATATTCGCTTTGTTTGGTTTATCCGCTCATAACACCTCGGTAGCTATATTCAGATCGGCGTTATGCTGAGTAAGTATAATACGTACTTAGGTATTTATTGATTCACCTCATTAGCAAAAAAGAACATATGGTAATGGTGATCATTATACAATGGGCCGACTGGACACTTTCCGCAGAAGCCAACAATGTGATATTCATCATCTCCCATCTCTCTCTCTCTCTCTCTCTCTCTCTCTCTCTCTCTCTCTCTCTCTCTCTCTCTCTCTCTCCTCTCTCTCTCTCTCTCCTCTCTCTCTCTCTCTCTCTCTCTCTCTCTCTCTCTCTCTCTCTCTCTCTCTCTCTCTCTCTCTCTCTCTCTCTCTCTCTCTCTCTCTCTCTCTCTCTCTCTCTCTCTCTCTCTCTCTCTCTCTCTCTCTCTCTCTCTCTCTCTCTCTCTCTCTCTCTCTCTCTCTCTCTCTCTCTCTCTCTCTCTCTCTCTCTCTCTCTCTCTCTCTCTTTCTCTTTCTCTTTCTCTTTCTCTCTCTCTCTCTCTCTCTCTCTTTCTCTGTCTCTCCCTCTCTCTCTTTCTCTTTCTCCCTCTTGCTCCTCCTCTCCCTCTGTCTCTCTGTCTCTCTCTTGCTCCCACTCTCTCTCTCACTCTCTCCCTCTCACCAGGTCTCTGAAGAACAACCGCACCAAGATCCACCGGAACCTGTTTGTGGCCATGGTGATTCAGGTACTGGTGCGACTGGTGCTCTATCTGGACCAAGTGGTGATCAGAGGAGGAGTGAGCAACTCAGAGTGTCGCGTCACCGTCCAGGGAATCGACAACACGGTGAGAAATGGGGAGAGGGAAAGAGGGATAGAGGGAGAGGGAGAGGGAGGGAGAGAGAGAGGCAGGGGGAAGGGAGGGAGAAAGATTTGCCCGTTTACTGTCTGTAACTTCTGGGATTTGACAATCTTTTATATGTTTGATGTGTGCACAGTAGCCTTGCGACAGTGCTCCCAATGTGTCAATGTGTCGCTGAATAGCAGCGACTATGAGTTATGAACACGGCAGTTTTAACACGCGATACCTCCATGCGATATAAAGACGTCTCTTGTGGCCCACCATACATTCTCCTCGGTCGGTTTCCTCTCCGGATATTGTTACAATTTATTGCGTTATTGAACAATGAAGTTTTCAGGATGACGGCAGGGTATCTTTATGGTCGTTCGCTTCCTCTGATATGGGCTCATAACGTCGTAAAATGTCACGTAACACGGTGTGAGAACTTTTCGTATGAGATCAGACGTCACAACGATCGCCGTATTATTTATAGACTTTATTACGTTTCTCTTCGGTGGAAGTTCATGAACAATGTCCGATCTCCGGCATGGCGTTCTATTCTCGAGTGATTCGCCGTATTGTTTCTATTAAAGCTGCAATAAACCTCTTATTTGATGCAATGATGACATTCCAAACATTCTTTGCAGATAAGTACGTTGTTTATAATTACTTTGTCAATAAGCATAAATACAGCGAACTTTCAAAACGACTGCATTTTCTTATGCTCAATTGATTTTATGGTTTATGCGAAATGTTTTATTCGCTTTACCTATAAAATGCAAATACCGCGGTTGAAGAACTGCATTTTTTTTTACACTCGCATTCCGCTCTGTGTTTAAAGTGTGAGGATTGTGTGTACTTCATCCAGTGCTAACCTCCTTTGACCTGCGGTTCTGTTTTCAGCCGTACGTGTGTGAGTCGTTCTACATTCTGCTGGAGTACGCACGAACCGCCATGTTCATGTGGATGTTCATCGAAGGACTTTACCTGAACACCATGATCTCAGGTCAGTTCTGAACCAGTCGCCCCGCCGCGCTGTTAATCAGATGCATCAGATTCAGAACCAATGTTAAGATTTATGCTGCTTCACATGAACTTTGTAATTCAGAGATTGGAATCAAAATTGTATTTGGATTGTGCTGCGGCAATTCTTTTCGATAGGGAGCTTCATATCGTTTGATTTTCAATGCTCAAGGGTCAACCTGGTATGCGTTAGAATTCATGAACACCTTCATCATGAACAGAACACCTTTATTAACACACTCCCGTTTCATAAATCAAAACGCTATGAACTTTCAATTTAGCCGTTATGGGTCCCTCTTATTCTGGTCACGTGCTCTCTCAATATGGTCACTGACCTAAAACCGCGCCGCTTCATACGCAGCCGGCACAGCGCCTGCCGAGCAGTGACCCACACTATTTCAAACTATATTAAATTCACTCATCAGTGCTCCGTTTCCGCGGGCGGCGCCGAAATCCGGCCTCATAAACCGATATTGAAGTGTGCGCCGGTGGCCGCTGGCTGGCTCGCTGGTCGCGCCGGCTGTGCTGGTCGGGTAGTACTGGTGATAAGAGGGCGGCTAGCCTGGCGTCGATGGTTGCAGTGACCGCTACAGGACGGGGCTGGGATGGAACAGTGGCGGTTACCCGGCCCGTGGGTCAGAGACACCGACAGACGCGGCGGAAGGAATGGTAGGTGTGATGGAGATTGGATGACGGGCCACCACGCGATGCAACGGTGTGTGGCTCAAGTCTAAGGCATTGAATCCTGGCCCTGGTTGTAGCTAGAATGAAAAGAGCTGCTCCAGAGCTCGCCAAAACAGTTGCCTTCATCAGCGGGCCTGGTGGAGGTCACCGAATTATGAAAGCCAAAAGGACATCATGCAGTCAAAGTTAATGTTGGGTGAAAACACGGAATCTGTTTGACTTTGTTAGGCCGTTCAACTCAAGGCAAGACAGGCTCTGACACATGAGATCTATTCTGACAGCTAAAACGGGCGCCTCTGACGGTTGGCCGTGTTCATGTCCTGACTGACGGACGTTTCCTGACGGCCGGGACGCTCGGGCTGTCTGACAGATCTAACGGCCCCGCTAATGTCTCGCACCTGTGGAGGTCGGACCCTGTGACCCTCGGAGGGGACCGCTTTCGGACCCGACCCGGGTCGCTTTCGACACGACCGCGGCCGCGCCAGCAGCCCCACTACTGTGAATTCTGCGGGTGACGGGAGACGAAACGGCTGCAGAACTTATAACTTCTGGCACCAGGAAGTCAAACTTGGATCCATTTCTGGAGTTAACTGTTGCCGGCAGTCTGTGATTTATTGCAGATTTGCTACTCCATTTCACAGCTCTCTTTTAACTCTAAGGAAGGCAAAGTAAGGCAAGCATATAGTGCCATTATGCATGACAGAGATAAAATGTTACCCGGAAATGTAATACCTTACATTCACAACGTTACAGATAAGCGAATCTGTAACTTTGCGACTGCGAAAATCATTCCGAAGAACTTCTGAACTGAACGGTGATTTTCAGAACAATTGTTCTGTACTGCAGAACCGATTACCCATTTTCTGGTTGACCTGGCCACTGGTGGTTTCCAGCTGAATTCGTCTCTGTCCAGATAGCACAATCACAGTGCTGTTACTGAGCCATTTTAACGATCGGCAGCTTTCTCAAGCGTCACTAAATTAATGTGTGGTGTTTAGCGGTGTGACCACACTATCCTCAGAGCCGGCCAACAGTGACATATAAAAATGCGACAACCGACCACCACATGTCCCCAGAGAAAAGATATACGATGATCCCACTCGATCCTGGCTTTTGCGGACTATCGTATAAACCAAGGAACGGCTCAGGAAGGGACTGGACGGTGCCAGCCACTTTTATCACATGACATCGCGCTTAAGTTCGGCCACCGCCGGCCGGGTAGCAACCCGAGGCTGATCGGTCTCGGATTGGAATATATTGTATCGTCCCACTTCTAACGATGCCAACAACAGACGGTAGGAAAGTGCGATATATCTGAATTATCTGCCGTTCTCTTTCTGTCGTCGTTCCGTTACTCACCATGGCCCGATGTCGCTGCTCGTTTTCTCTTGTCTGCCAGACTTGCGTTAGTTCCTCGTTGAGTGTTGCCTGGTACATCTGGCAGCTCGTTTCTGGAAACTGGCCCACCGGCTGGCAGCAGGTCATTATATTACTAACGGTTTCGGGGAAGTCAGGGATCGGGAGTCGGTGCCTGGGGAGAGGGGGCAGCTAGTATAGCATCAATTGGCGACGGCCTGGGAACACCGCCGGACGTGGCCAGAGTTTAATAAATGTCTCGTCTGGCTTTATGGATTGCCTGACGTTTATCTAGAGGTGCCGATGCTTTCATTGATTTGGCAGTAGCCCTGACGTTGCGCGTCAGGTTAGGGCTATATTGCTTATATTACCGTCAAAAAACGTTAATTTAAAAGTGTCCAGAAAAATGTCAATTTCGTATCACCAAACGCAAACTAGATACTAGAAATATCGCACAAATAATTAAGCCCATGCGTATTTTTTTTTGGGGGGGGGGGGGTACATTCTTTGGTTCGATCGAGTGAAGAAGGCATACCCCAGGGTCTGTGACCATTGACCGTTGTTCTCAGTCGCCACTTGGGCTCACCTTGCACCTGTGTTGGACTACGGAGTCATTGCTGCAGCATGTATACGACCTCCGAACATTGTCTGTTGGCACGACGCGGTGGCATTCGACCGAGGCTGATCGTAGCGTGGTACAATATTCAGTATTACTTTGTGTCCACACTAAACACCGTCTATACAGCGCGCCAGAATAACAGAGACCGGTCACGTAGCGAGCTAGCAGGTCAACACCGGTGTCCTTGGGGATGCTGAATTGTGTGGATACCGCGGTGGGCGCGACATACTTAGATATTTTATTTGCTAGCCACATATGCCGGCCTGGATGAGAACGTCCCATCATTTTCTACAATGTTCAATTTGTACAGTACAATTTGTACAATTTGTTAAGCTTCATGATCTTCCATGAATATGTTGAGCGGTTTTGCGCAGCATAGTCTCCCCTCTCGCAGCAAATTCGTAGGTGTGCATGACTGATCTTCCGTATTTTACTTTTTTGTACGCTGCACAGTGCACATGCTTTATCACTTCAAGATAGGTTATTTATCGCGATGAAGCTGAATTGAAAGGGCTGGGAAATCCATGCTGATTATTTCATTTTTTTCCAAATCCCAATGCTTGGAAAATTGAATTAGTGCCCCAGAATGGAAGCCAACCATCCTGTGTTGTAGCACCGTCTGATTTTCCCCATATATGTACAGATCCTCACAAATCTGCTTCCCGCCTTTGTCTCTCTCAGTCTATTATTCGTCTCACAGTGGTTGTTTTTGGTAAAGCGCCGCTGCTAAAAGGCGGGAATCGGCTTCACCGAGCCACTCAATCCCCCGAAGTGGTTTGTTGACGTCGGACCTTGACACTGGAGTGCCAGTTCAACCTCAGTCACTTCAGTTACTTGCCAGTGACCGTGAACGAATTCTCTCCGTTTCCAGTGACTGTTTTCTCGCCGCGGTTCTACGACAAGTTTTACTACACGACCGGCTGGGGTGCACCCGTTGTCATGACAACGGTGTGGGCGGTCGTCACTGGACTCAACTATGGTCACGTGAGGTAAGTGTGCATGGTGGAGGGATGAGAGAGAAAGAGAGAGATAGATAGATAGATAGATAGATAGAGAGAGAGAGAGAGAGAGAGAGAGAGAGAGAGAGAGAGAGAGAGAGAGAGAGAGAGAGAGAGAGAGAGAGAGAGAGAGAGAGAGAGAGAGAGAGAGAGAGAGAGAGAGAGAGAGAGAGAGAGAGAAGACGAAGGGCAGAGAAGGAAAAAAGAATCGGCAATCGCAGAGGGGGAAATCCGAGAATTAATGACAGTGGGAAAAGTGGAAGCTTCTGAGCTTTCAGCGAAGAAACTGCTAAAAAGGGAAACTTCGAAAAGGAGCTGGACTGTGAAAAGAAACCAGCTGATATAATTTGGAGCTGCTAAACGACATTTCCAGCATGATTTCCACCCCTACATAGTTTAGCCTCAACAGCATCACACATATTTATTTTGCTGACAACGGAAGCAACGTTAGTTGAATTGAACATCAAAAGAGGAATGCCGATTCGTTTTAATGAGTTGTTGCGTCGGTTTTGTGTTCTGGGCTTCGCAATGGATCGATGCAGAAGTTCATTAAAGTTTCACCATTGCAGCACGAAGTCGATCGGTTTGCTGTGTTGTGAGACCGTATCGATTGTAGCTGGCTCGTTGACGCTGCGGTCGGTTGGTGACATTGGTGTCTGTCGTTTGGTTGCAGCTGCTGGTGGAATTATAACCTGACGAACCTGTACTGGATCCTAGAGGGGCCGCGCATTGCAGTCATGGTGGTAAGCATGCGATTGCGCTCAAAGGAATGGTCTAGTCTACGTGAATGCCGAAATCCAGATGGTTTCTTCTGTGGATGATGATTTCACTTTCGTATGAGTGATTTGGGAATTGTCTGGTATTTTTCTAGTCAATTAATTGATAGATGTAGGTACTAGTAAAAAACAGCACTAGTTGAAAAATGATGGTTTAGCTGAAAAGTGCTTTCATTTCAGAGCATTCTATTTTAAGGTTATACGCTGGCAGTATTTCTATGCTAGCTAAGAAGGTGTCGTGGAATGTTCATCCCCATTTGTTTCTTTGCAGCTGAATGTCGCCTTTTTGGTGAACATCATCATAGTTCTTGTAACGAAGATGCGTCAGAGCAACTCGAGTGAAGCGCAACAAGTCAGGTAAGTTCCTCCTGAATGTTTTTGTGTGTTTTCTTGCACCGGGTAAGTACTCGTAAGGTGAGCCCGATTTTCGAAGGTTTCTTGTTCTTTTGCATTTGCTTTTTTAATGCTACGCGGGAAACCAGCAATCTCGTTTGACGTTTACCTTAATTGAAGGGCGCTTAGAATTCAGCCAGGCACTTAATCACACTCGCGTGTTATTCAATTGCCAACCACTCACCGCGCGTCGAATTCACACGCTTAGAGCCGTCAAAGTCCTCGCATCATTTTGTTTTCCAGAAAAGCTGTCGCTCTTAATTTATTGCTCGCTCGGTCCGCACAAATGCAGTCGTCCTTCTACCGCGGCGCGGGCCGGAATTGACGTGACTGCGGGCGCCGCCCCGCGGTCTGTCGTCGCCACCGCCTGAGCGAGGCCTTGTCGACAGTGACCTTGTCTGCACGTGTGAATATTTCATCAGCCACCTCCCGTATGCAGGCCCGTCATGTAGCGATGGGGCGTTTTGGACGAAATGGCTCACTCTGGTATGCCGGCCCGTTGTCCTGAGTACGGCTGAAAACTGCGAGGAGCGGCCGCAGATCAGAGCTGAGGTGATGGCCGCGGCGTGTATGGCTCGGCCGGCAGCCGCGGCCGCCGCCCAGAGCCGCTCCGAAAGCGGACCGGAAACGAGCCGTTGTCGGCGCACGTGCCTGCCGAACCGCTCCTTGGACGATCCACGGGTTCATATCGCGCCATGGCCGCTAGGCGCATTACGCACTGCTATGCTCTAGTACCAAACGCCTGCATCAATGCCTGAGGGAACCCCATTACCGATAAATGAAAACACACCGCAAGAATTAACACGGTTCAAGTCCACCTTAACCCGCGCCCCACTGGGGTCTGCGTATAACACGCCCTACTGGGGGGGGGGGGGGGGGGCTATTCATAGCCCCCCCTCCTAACTCCGAAACTACTGGGCCGATCGTCAAAATTCAAACGGCGTCTGATAGCCCCGGAAAAACTGTCGAGCGAAACCTAATTTCATTGACCTCGAGGTCACTGATGACGTCACAGGTCAGGTCAAAGTAAAAATTATTAGCATTTTGGCTTCTTCACGTTTTGGGCTCTGGCCGCCGTCTTACAAGTCAGATCAGGCTCATTTTTGGTTCACACACTCGTGAACAGATGCTCTAGATACTCTGAGGGTACCAAACTTGTACTTTGATTTTCAGGTCAAGGTCAGGTCATCACAAGTCACGAAAATATTATATCATCCGTCGGTCACGTGACACATGTTTTATGGTCCATTTAGGCCAAACATTTCGAATTTGATGTCGTCTGTGTCATTCGAGGTCATTTTGAGTCAAGTTTAGCTTAGGTCAGGTCACTTTCAGGTCAAAAAAGGTCAAATTTTGAAATTAAAATTTTTCAACAAAAAAGGTGTCTATTGGATGCAGTTTGAGCTCAGAAACACGATGGTGCTATTTATATTGGCGTACGATGTCAAATTCGTGCTAAAAAATTGATTTGAAAAATTCATAATTGTTAATTTTTTTGCAATAATGCGAATAACTTGGCCATTTTTGAAGATATTTAGCTAAAACTTGCTAGACTTAGTCATAATAATGCGTTCTATCACATATATTCCGGTTTTTTTTCGAAAAGTCAAAAATTTTTTGAAAAAAATGTAAAAATATAAATTTTTAATTTAATTATATAAAATTTTCGAAATTTTCAAAATTTCGAAAATCCGAGATAGCATTTTGATAGCGCAGTCTATTCTGAGTCCTCTCATGTAAAGAAATTGGATCTAGCTTAAAAACTGAGCTCTTGGGAGTGATTGCCGTGATTCAATGTTTTGCGTCGAAATCGGCCGAACATGACGTCACTCTGACGTCATTTCCGGCCGACCTATGGTAGGTACGAAGTTCAAATTTTGACACAAGGTGTCAAATTGATGCAGCCGAAGGTGCTGAAAGTTTGGCGTCGATATGTCAAGCGGTTTGGAAGTTATTGCAGAAAAACGGGAGGGGGGGCTATAAATAGCCCCCCCAGTGGGGCGCGGGTTAACGTAATGAGGCACATTACAATCGTGTGATCAAACGCCAACGCTACTGACTTTTTATTAGTCAACGCTTGAGAAGGGAGCTTTCCGTTTGCATTTCCCGCATTGATTTCCCCGTCCCATGACAGCCTGAATTGGTATGCTGTGCCGCACGGCTCCAGTGTCATGCGGTACAGGATACTCTTCACAAAAGGATTGGGCCGGCAAATACCGGGGCTTTCCCGACGAAACGAGCTGGCCAGACCGCGGCCAGACCGAGATTACAGGGCAATCACAGTTTATTTACCAGCCACCGGTCAATACGCGGCGACCTAAGTGGGCTGTTTGGAGAAAGTTTGCTAGGAGGGCTGTTTTTATTGACGGCTGAGAGACCGCAAGGCGCAAAATGAAGTTGAGCAGGTAGGTAGGTAGGTAGTACACGCTTTGATAAACTTTCTGAAGCTAATTATCTGTTGAAAATTAGTGTGAATAGTTTGCTCATTAGTTTTCACCCGCAGACATGCTCATTGCTCAGATCATATAGCGAAGTGTAACTTGCATTTAACAACTTGCGAACGTTTTAACCCTACCATTGCGGCACCTTGAACATTTTCCCCCACAAACTCAAAACATTCGTAAAGCAGATTCATTTAGTTCAATGCGCCATCCATCTTTTACATATTCAGATTGTCATCATATCGACTTTCTCGCGAATTAACAAAATAAAATAAAAGACCGTTTGCTTGCCCTTGGTGCGCAGGGGAACCGATGAATGAATGAATGAACAGCCAGCCACTTACAGCCGGTCACCGAATCGTTATTTTGTGAGGGCGCTGCTGGGGCAATCAGCTCTGAACCGGGATCCCTGCTGGCAGCAGTCGTAGACACATGGCCTCAGGTGACCGGGGACGACCCCGTCTCACCCGTATACACATGACCGCGAAGAAAACGGATCGGTGGTTTTATTTTGCTAAGCGAGATTGGGTCGGATCAAGGACGTTGCTGACACTGATTTGGAAGCATGTGATGCAGACGCTGCTCGTAATTTTATCAGTTTGTTATTCTTGGAAGCGCCGGAAAATTTAGATTTCCTTGGAGCAGGTGGTGATAGGTCTGATGTATAAACATGAAGTAAGATAATAGCGATCTGCAGACATAGCTCGCCGTTGCAATCAGTCCAAGTGGACAGAATTTGAACTACCAATTACTCGAAATATTAACCGATGGCCGAAGCAAATAAAAATTCACGTTTTATTTAATAAAAAATGGCTGCCAAATTCCCGTGCCACTTTAGCATCGATTTCAGCCAGTGAAAATACAGTTTTTATCGTGCATTCCGTCATACCAAAAGCGCGATAGGTGTTTTTTCGGCCCATGTTTATCACACAGCGCATGTTTACGAAGTGTGATGAATGGTGTCATTTTTGTCAACACTCTCGTTCGTACTCGCGTGCTGGTTTGCGGCTCAGAACGACCGCTGTTCTATAGGACAAATGTCCGCTATGTTATAACTGATGGTAGACGGTATCCAAACAGATGGGTTTCTATTGACGGCACGAATATTAGCTTTTTCCGGCTGCGCGATAGTTTTTGCTGGGTACAGCAATATGGACTGTGGAGGGCTTGCGTGAAAGTAAACGTTTTAATATTTGTGGAAGCAGAAAAGCACGTGAATGAGCTATAGGTGCCGTATTTGATGTGATGTGGTTTAAACGCAAATTAAAAAGGAAAAGAGCAAAAAGAAAGCACAACAGCCACTACCTATGTGGCGTCATTGTCCCACGAAGCTCCTTGCGTCATACAGAAACTTCGTATCAGCCCTGGCCACCGGATGTTCGGTGCAGCGCAAAAGGTCAACTGATGGCCTTATACGAGTGTATAGCGAACAATGCGCCGCCGCTAAACTCATTAAAGCTTTCAGTGCAAGTGATTTAGAATGTGGTTAAGTGCTGGTCACTGGTGCACCATTTGATATTCTGTAGAACCTTCGCCGCAGCGCAGAAACATACACTGGCAAAGTATTCATGCATGAGACAATAACAAGTCAAAATGGAGTCTTGGCCTCGGTATATGTTTCTGAAACGACTAAGTAGCCAACAGGCGCCATAAAACGTGTTTTAAGTGCATTTAAAGTGTGCTCCTAAATGCTCCTGTCCTTACATCCGGCAAGCCTATTTGTTATGGCGGCAGATTGCCGCTAAAGATAGGAGAATATGGTTCGAATTGTCGATCGATGCTTGCTAAAGCAGTCACGTAGGATATTGTTTCAAATATATAGCAATATCATATCATCAAAATAACGTTCATTGAAGCTACGTTGTCCTTTCTTCAAGAAGCAAAGTTGTGGATTACCAAAGTACGGCACTGAAGAAAATCATTCTTAGAATTTAGAAATCGAATCGACTGACATACTTATAGCTCAAATTTAAGCGAAACATCGCATAGCAGCTCAGTTAGACAGCTCCTGCTTTTAGAACTAATCTACACACATTCGGGCCAAAGACAGTTGTCAGTAAGCTGAAATTGCTTACCCCCATACCTCTGAGATCACCGGGGTCACCCACTGACCTCTGCCGCCCCCATGTATGTCCACAGGAAGGCGGTGAAGGCGGCCGTGGTGCTCCTGCCGCTGCTGGGGGTCAGCAACATCATCAACATGGTGGACGCGCCGCTGGGCCGCTCGGTGGCAGAGTTCGCCGTCTGGTCTTACCTGACTCACTTCCTCACATCCTTCCAGGGCTTCTTCGTCTCACTGCTCTACTGTTTCCTCAACGGAGAGGTGAGTCACACCAGAAGGCACGTGAGCCGGTGAGCTGCCAAATGTCAGTAGCCATGACGAGGGGTGAAACTAAATGCTTACTTCGAAATCTAAGCTGCGTTGCGGCATTGGCGGCTATGTGCGGCGTGTATGCCGCATGATTAGTAAGCGGCGACCACTAAATTAAAAATTCAATAGCTTTGACCTGTTTTCAATGGATAACACTGCATACCAAAAATGTCCATCGCTCTCGTCATAGGATATTTAGATTTAAATAACTAACTTATCTACATCATTGTTTTGAACCAAATTAATACTCAGCCGCGAACGTATAAGGTATAACCCCTTGCCGTTTCGCTCCTGATCAAGCTAGAGCTTCGCGGAAAAACGAGCGTGTTGCCCGTGACGAGAGAAAGCCGATGATACCCAATTTTAAGGTCCTAGGTCATCGGTTGACCTTCCAGGTCAGGTCAATGACCCAAAAGGCGGGAAAATTGGGACCTGTTAGAACGTCGTAGTGTGGCTGCTATGGGGTTTTTCGGGGTGCTGATCACGAATATCATGCTAGTTTTGATCACAGATGATGTCTTCATTCATTTAGGCCAGGTCGGGTTAGGTCAGGTCAGGCCAACCAGTAGAGGTCCTGCCAGGTATTTGTAGTAGATGTCAACCGCCTCTGACAGCCTCGTAACATGTTACGACGGCACCAAAACTACTTTGTAAACGTTCATGTGGTTGCTTAATTCGAATTCAGCTCGAAAAAACTGACCTAGAAACATGTCAAACTCGAAAAAGTGAACCGAGGTCACCAAAGGTCAATGACCTGACCTGACCTTCAGGTGACCTTGACACCCACCCTAATGCATGGGGGCAACATCATATCACATGTTTGAACGCTTGAAACCACGAAAAGACTGCAAACGCGCTGCTAATGCGAGCCGACATACGCTGAATCGCGGTTCCGGCCAAACATGGTCTCGAAAAGTAGGTCACAGGTCAAAGGTCATTTGGGTCAGGGTCATGAAATTTTCAGGATGGGTGTTAAATTGATCAATGCGAGGGTACTGAAAGTTTTGTCGCGATCAGCCGCTTTTTAAGCGAGTTATTCGCGAAAAACCTTAGGGGGGGTTGCATCAAACCCCCCCCCCCCTGTGCGGGCGAGGTCATGTTTTGATAGCAAGACTGAAACAGACTTTTTTGGGTAGCCAGGAAATCGCATGCCAGAGCCTATTCAAATTCTTTTATCGGCCTTTATATGCACCAGTCGCATACAGGTACGGGATTTAGCATACGATTTCCAGACAATCGAAAGACTGTTTGGAGACAACAAAGGAAGGAATGAGTGAGTTAAGTTGAAAGTATTAATTTGGTTCAAAATGATGATGTAGATAACCAAGTTATTTGAAGCTGAATATCTTATGACGAGAGCGGTTGGCATTTTTGGTATGCAGTGTTATTCATTGAGAACCGGTCGGAGCGTTTGAGTCTTTAATTTAGTGGTCGCCGCTTACTAATCATGCGGCATACACGCCGCACATAACCGCCAATGCCGCAACGTAGCTTAGATTTCGAAGTAAGCATTTAGTCCCACCCATGACGAGCTGATTGGTACGCAGAGTGATGTGCTCGTCAATATTTGGTTGCGCGGTTAACCCGCGCCCCTTTGAGGTCTGGCAGGTTCCAGCTGGGGTCAATATGGGGAAGGAATGGTCGATGATGCTGCGTGGTGCAGGGTCAAGACTGGATCAGTTGGTAAATAATTTAAGCAAGCCTCTGAAATGCCGCTAAATATCTCGGTAATAAATGTTCATTCATTCAACCTCACTTACAACATCCAACTGGAGACTAACTCGAATAAAAATCTCGGGATAGTGCCCCTAACTCCCGCTCTCCCTGCCCTGCAACTGATTCGTATTCCTGGTGATACCGCTGGGCTGAGGCTATAGGACAGCCCGGCTTTGCTCGCCCAGCCCTGGATTTCCACAGGCGCCACCAGCCGCGCCGTGCAGGCTCTGACATCACTCCCGTCTCCCTACCCCTGTCACGTCCCAGGACCCTGGGGTCAGGTCACAGGTCACAGGTCACATGTCACCGACCCGTCTGACCTTTAGGGTGACGTTAATTAGTGTCATCGCAGTAAAACAAGCATCAAAATTAAAGAAATGATAACAGTGGTTCCCATAGATCCCACTCGGCTGTGGTTGATATCAATTCCCGTCGACAGCGACTCAGAGCGGGAGATGGAGGATCACGGCGGTAAAAAACGCCCCAGATGGTCACAGAAGGCCGAGAGATGCCAGGATCAGACCGGCTTTCCAGGATTTGGCTCGTTGGATGGGATGGGCCTATTAGTGATAAGCTTCGTGATACCTCATGAAAACTTTGCCGGAAATGCGATGTTGGTCTATGGTCGGTACCTCCGGGAGGATAATGACTCGCGAGGCATTTGTACGCGATACTTGCTCTCCGCTGCATGATGCAATAATGGCGCGCGTCGAGAACGCTGCACATGCGATCTTTGAGATAAGTTCCTCCGGTGATGATGCAACCCAAATAAGCCATCCAAACTTCTGTTTCTTTCTAACTATTGCATTGTCCGGTTTGTGTCTTTGCTTGCCACTCCTCGAAATACAAAAAGATTGCATTTTTATACAAATGTGATAAGGATTTTCTCACCGGAAACAACACAGCTTATTTCCCTTTTTGGGACTTTCGAGCCGCTTCCAAGCGGTTCAACCTAGAATTCACTGAGCTTTGATGCAAAAAAAAGAAAAAGAAAGAACTCAACAGTGTAGTATACATAATGAAACGCGGAAGCAATCCGCTTTGCAACTGTGCTTTGTTCAGTGTCGTCAACCCACAATGTTGTTAAGCATAACGCTTAGCTATTTCTTAATGTTTCATCCCCTCGCGTTATCCAGGTGCTCCTATCCGCCTATCCCGACCATCCGGAGCCTGCTGATATCGAACCACTTCTCTTTCCTCCCATTCTTCCCTGCCATTAGTCGTCCAAGGGCACCGTTTCCGGACCACTCTCTCTCCCCCTCCTCCTCCTCCTCCGCCACCGAATGTGTAGTGGGTCCTCTCCCGAAATACCTCGGCACGCGCGCGACCCCGTATCCGATTAGAATGGACAGCGCCAGCGGTCGGCCTCGGCCGCGGCGCCGGCTGAGCAGGCCAAGCCGATTCTATTTGGCTGATGAATGGGTGGCTTGCACTTTGTAGAGTAGGAGCAGCTCGTGTGCCACTGGCTATTTGCGAGTCAGGGTGACGGACGGCTGTCCAGAATTTGTAAGTCCGTATGTTGAATTGATGGCGCTGCTATTTTCATGGTAATCTCGGCTCGGAGAGCCTCCAAGTGGACTGTAAAGCAGTTTGTCTTCTTTGGACTACCGATGAGGGATTTTAAAAGTTTTCGTAGAGCAGCCATTATCAATTAATCGATTCAAGCTTTGGCTTCTGAGCTGATTTTACGTTTTTGATGATATCTGATCTATGCGGAAACGTAAGCTTCGCTCGTTCGTGCAATTTTATACCAACAAATCGTTTTATTGAGCTGATCGCAACTCTGCAGTGTTCGACACCACCCCCAGCACCACCAGCAATCACACCCCCTCAAGCCAGCCCCCATTCTGCTCCTCCCGCAGGTGCGTCTGGCCATCAGTAAGATGATCTACGACTACTGCTCGCTGCGCACTGCGGACACGTACCGGCGCGGGTCGGGCTTCTCCAGCGTGTTCCTGACCACAGTTGCTGAGCCGGCTCGCGGTGAACCAGCTCGCTCATTGGTCACCTGCGGCTGCGTGCGCACCAAACCCTCTTCGCCGGCCTGCCAGGGGTGAGTGAGGAGTCAGAGGGGAGGGGGGGGGGGGGGCTGGAGGTCACGGAAACTTTGGGATGTGGCATATGCATAAATGTAAATTGATGTAAGTGATCGTTTACCAGATGTTTTGAAATATCGAGTGTTTCCAAAACATCTCAATTGACTTTATAGATAAATGGATTTCAAAGTTTCCGTGACCCGGATCAGCTTTGATCGTCTCTTACCTGCTCTGTCTGCTGTTTCTGTAATGTTTATTGTTACTTGTTAGTTGGTACACTTGGTACTCGTAGTGCAAATGCTACTAGTTACGTGTTTTGCGAAATGTGAACATGGCCTTAAAAGTTCGGTTAGACACCCTGCTACAGCTTAATTGCTGCTCAGGTTTTTGACCTCAGCATAAAGAAGATGCTAAACATTTTCTTAGTTCCTTCTATCTATTTCGATACGCATGACTTGAGCTAATTTTTGAAAGCTTTTGTGTGGTACGTACCTATCTAAGACGTGCCTTGTTCTGCATGCTAATTCATCAATTGACAATTTTGTCAGATGCTTAAAACAAAATTGAAGGCAATGATGAGTACGAATTCACGCACGTTACTGTAACCCGGAAATGACGTAAATTCTGTTCTACCTCATTAAACTGTTCACATTGCTATCTACCGACTCTCACGCATTTTATTTCATGTTTTCTACTATAACTTCATCTAAGCCCGTTAGCCAGCGACACTAACTTCATTCACTCACGTACAGGAGCAGGAAAATAAAGATCACTACTTTTGTTTTTTAACTGAATTGTAACGGATGTAAATAGCTAACAAAAGCAATTAAGGATTTGCAAAGTTACCATAGTGTGTGGAGTGTCTTGAAATTATAAACAACGCGGAGTACTTGATTGTATAACGTTTTTGCACGAATGTTGCCAAGATCGAATGCCTATTTTACATGACTTGGTCCCGCTGACAATTTTGGAAATCAGTGTTTCATATTTGTACTCACTACCCATCATGTTACTCATGCTAAGTGCATGTGGATGTTATTGATCGTATAGAACAGGCCCTGATGTGCTTACCGTTGTTAACTTATCATTACCATCATCAACGGTCGCAATTTTACCTTAGTTGCTGTGCACGTAATCGTCCAGTTCCATCCGCGGCGCGGGTCCGAATTCCGCTGCTTTAAATGTGCCCCAGGTAGTCGGGTCGCAATCCCGCCGCTCTAAATGTGCCCCAGGTAGTCGGGTCAGGTCACCGACCGTGTCTGAACGATCCGTCCTGCTGTGTAGTGTCTGCCGAATGCTGCTGCCAAGCCCGCCGGCCGGGCGCGTGCACACCGAGATCTGAGAGGGCCAGCGCCAGCCCGACGGCGCGCCGCAGTTCGGTGACGTCCTAGCTAGAACTGCATGATCGTCCACTGTGTTAGCTGTGTCGGCTCGACCGGAGCAGGTGAGATCGACGGCGGTAGTGGGGAGATGAGCGGGAGAGACGCTGTGTAAATACGTGATTTTTATATTTACGAATGTACCGTTGATCGGTCGCCGTGTAGGCATTGTCTGGGACGCCGGTGAAACCGGGGCGCCGGAGGGCATATTAGTCACGTGACATTTGGAACTTCTCCCGCTCCATGGGCCTTCTATATGCCAAACGTCACGTGTAAATTTCACGAACCTTGATCAAATCGCCCCAGGCGCCCTGTTTTCATCGTCGTCCATTGTCTGGGCCAAAAGTCATGTTCCCAAGATGCCATAATAAAGGGTTCAGTTATGTGCATTAGAGTGTTGGATACCTTCATTAACAAGCAGGTCATGTGGATGGTCTTGCATTGTAGCTGTATCTACCTCACATTCACTCCTCACTCCTGGCTTTTTTGCGGATATGTAGTGTCGGCGAAATCAGCTTGAGCCAGCATCCGTCGGCAGGCGTGAGATCGGAATTAGCACTGTGGGCAGTCCCAGTGGGACTGCTCGCTCTCCCAGCGTGATGAGGTCAATCCCGCGTCGGTTCCCTCCCCCTCCTCGAGCCCGTGTTTTTACGCAGCGCTCTCCCCGGCAGGACTCAAGTCTGATCTCATCGTCACCTATCGCCGGTCAGTGGTAGCTGCAGTTGCGTCGTTCGCCACCAGGGCGGCGCTGCCCGCTCGGGGTGCGACAGCGCCCGGGGGAGACCGGGCGGCCAGGGCTTGCCTCGGATGGCCTGACGAACAGACTGTGCAGCGAGCCACTTATCCATAGAGACTGTCCTGGCGACACATCCATAATGTTCATTGTACTCATCGCAAACATGTACCATTCATGTGCTGAATCGTTTTTATTTATTGTATTTATGTCATATATGTCCATGGCTTGTTCCGCTCTTCAGCGCTGATCGGTGGACTGAAGAGCATTACGCTGGCTTGTGCAATGTATATACTATGTATCTACAGTATACTAAATGCCATACTAGATGTAGTCACATTGTTCGTCCAGTGTGTGCGGCTTGCGTAAGATCACTGTCGCTTGTAATCACATGTGTGATGTTGTCAATATTTGTCGCCGTCGAAAAGTAGCCGAGCAGACGCTATTTTATCGCGACAGCCGCAAAATGAATCGACGTACTAACGTACTAAGTCTCGCTTCTCCTTCACATGTGTACGGGTATGAAAGGTATCGTTCCTTTTTGCTAATGCTTATTCAACGTTGAACGTGATTGTGAAGGAATTTTAACATTGGTCGTTAATATGCGGGAAATATAACAGAATACATAACCACAAAGTTATAAAGAAAGCCGGAATCAAGTATCAATGTCTTGCCATAAGCCAATAGTCTTAGTGAAATACGGTTTTGAGAGGGATCTAATGTTTCGTTTCAGTCTGACGTTACGTTTTGTAGCACTTTTGACAGCTCTCTGACGATTAAACACATTTTTGTCCAATTTATAATTTGTGTGTGCTTATGATATTATTGCTAATGTGCACAAGCTTCATTGATTTTCTTCTTCTTTACTCCTTACTCGCATTTTTTATTTTGCGTAACCGTATGTTAACCCGCGCGGGGCTGGGGTCTCCAGCCGAACGCGCGAGGCTGGGGGGGGGGGGGGTAAATTTTACCCCCCCCCTGTTATCTCCCGAACTAATGGTCCGATTAGGAAAATTCAAACGCCAATCGAAAGCTCTCATCACGAACTACTAAAAACATGTACTTAATTTAAAGTTTGAGGTCAAGGTCAAGGTCAGGTCAAGGGTACAAATTGCAAGTTTCTACAGTATCGGCCTTGCCCCGTAGTTGCCGAAGAATGGAGTCATGGACTGAGACTGATCGCCCAAAACGTGTTCTTAGGCTACCAAGACAATATTCGTTGCATACAATATCATTCAGAGGTCAAGGTCAAGGTCAGGTCAGGTCAGGTCAGGTCACCAAAAAACAAAATATAGAAAAGGGCATGTGCGACACATGTTTTATGGGTCATTTTACTCATAGAATTCAATAGGCACACTCAATAAGTGATATGGACCACCTCTGGATGAATTTCAGGTCGAGGTCAGGTCAAGGTCAGGTCAAGTGAGGTCAAATTTTGAAGTTGGTTATTAAGGCCTAAAAAGGTGTCTATCTGATGCAGTTTTTCACGGCGAATCGAATGGTGCTATTTTTGTTTCCGTACGAGGTCTAGAACTTCCAAAAATGTCATTTTTCAAAAATTTGTGTGTCGTGACGTCATAAAATTTTGAATAACTCCCACATTTTTGAACCGATTCTTCTAAAATTTGGTATGTTGGTGCACATAGACCACTTCTCTGACATATATTCCGTTTTTTTCGATAGACTCAAAATTTTGGATTTTATAATGATTTTCCCAAAAAAATAAGTTTTTTGAAAAAAATTAGGCCAAAATCCAAAATTTTCAAAAAACCGAGATAGCCATTTGATAGACAAAGTAAAATTACGTATAACCTTTTTTGTTACGTCTTGATTCCTTTAAAAATGAAGATGTTAGGGGCGTTTGAACTTTTGCCGTTTTTGAGGCGAAAATGGCGAACATGACGTCACTAAAACGTCAATTTCTCAAAAATTTTCCGACGGATTTCGCTCACATTTTCAGGGAACGTGTCAAATTGATGTAAGAAAAGGTACTGAAAGTTTGGCGGCGCTGCGCGCCGCCGTTTTTGAGATATCGCAAAAATTCGCGAGGGGGGGTAAAATTTACCCCCCCCCCAGCCCCGCGCGGGTTAAGTCACATGCGGTCCAGTGATTTAGAGCACCGAGCCAGCATTTGTCAAGTGTGACAGAGTTCAATTGGAGCTCATGCATCGCTGAGAAGCACGAGTAGATCTGACATTCGTTAAGTGTAATCAATGGAAACGGAGACGTATTAATGGCTCGCCGATCCGACAATGTATTGTGTCCGTGTGGCGACTATCGACTCGTGTTCGCTTTTCTTTCCATGAAGCATTGCGTTCTTTGTCTTCGCAATGTGAAAGTGAGAGGTCCGGAAGGGTCATCTTGGTGTAACGCTGCTGTTTATTTCGATGGTGCTTTCTGTACACCTTTGTTTCATAATATAAGCAACGGAACCCGACAACGGAGTATTTTATGTAAATTTCGTCTTCTAAGCTAGCTTACATAGTCGGATAATTTATCATATTTACACAGAGTATACTGTATAGGTGTCTGTACCATATGTTTTCAATGGCACGTTACCATCACCTTTTTTACCCCTCGTTTGCTGAAATTACTGCTCATCCCGTTCCGTCTCTCTAACTGCGCGATCTCCGTCCCGGATGCTAACACAGGATAAATCAGCAGTGTACACAGAGACCGTCAGAGGGCGTGTGATCCGAATTACAAGTGGAGCCGAACAGCGCCTCGTGGGAGCTAAGAGGATTCCACAAACGAGCGCCAGCGCCCGCAGGAGAGACGGTGCTGATTTCGGACACGTGCTCGGCCTTGATTTTTATCCTGAGATCTTGGAATGAGCAGCAATCGGGGCCTTGGGGTTCTGTGCAAGTTTGGTGATTATTATTGCTTGTTACAACCGATACGTTATCCGCTATTGTCTAGAAAATCAGATAGGAGAAAAAAATGCGGTGCATGATTTTTGTTCTTTGTTTTCTTGCATGTCGAGGACAAATCAGATCTTCTTTATTAAGTGCCCACATTTGGGCCTGTGCAAATAGGTATTCTTGAAATGTTAGGAGGGCTTTTTTAGGCCTTTTTACAAAAATATTGAAGTGTCAAAAGCTTTGATCACGCAAGTATTAATTGCGTCTATAACACATCACAAATGTGCAGAAAATCAGTTTACCCCCCCCCCCCCCCCGCCTACTCCTCAAGCCCCTGACTGAGCTCGATGAGCCCGCAGCCGACCCTGGCGCCGGCGTTGCCCGTTTTCTTGCTCTCCTCGTCTCCACCTAGACCGAGGTCGTCCTCCAGAGCGTGGATGACGATAGCACGTCCCACGATCACGTTCTCGCTGTGAAAGAGGAACACTTGTCATTTAGGGTTGTGGAAATAAGACATACAGCATTGAATGGATAGGGTGAGATCGATAATTGTGAGCCTTGTCGTAGCTTCATCACTCAGATTTGTCCAATTGAAAATGCTCCAAATACATTTTCGAATGGAAATAACGAAAGCATAACGTTTATCATTAACGCTATTAACGTTAACGTTATTTCCTTGTATAGCAAGAAAATGCCGAAAGGAACCAATATTGGGACTGCACTGACCCGTCATAGAGCGTCTGGAGTTTGTCCTGGAGCTGGAAGTCGGCCGTGCCCGTCTCGTCTGCCACCACGTTACCCAGGTCAGCCACGTGGCGCCGGTCCTGAGGGCAGGTGATCAAACCAGGCGGTGAAGATCGCGAGTCTGATAGAGGGAGTTACAAGTGTTGTATATGTAATTATATATTATATAGAAATGTAGCACATCATGCAAGCTTTCTTTCACCCAGCTTTGTTTGTTTTATGCAAACCCATGTGTACATTTTGAATCACTAATATCTTTTTGTGAATATCTTTTCTTAACTTTCACAAAAAAATGTGAAAGTAAGGGCTGTTCAGAAGTGATCTCTAACTCCCGGCCATCACACCGGTGCGTGCACTGCCCTCTCACCGCGAGGTTGGGGTGAGCGCCGTGGTCGCTGCCCGCCGGGTTGAAGTGAGAGCCGGCGTCTGAGCACGCGCTGGTCAGGTTCCCGTTCTGATGCACGTGCAGCCCGTGCAGACCCGGCGCCAGGCCCGAGATGCTGCCTGCGGGAGGATGATGGAAGCTTAGATCGGTATATTGAACATTGAAGGGTCACACATATGTCGGTCTTAGCCGTTTTCACGACTGGTTATCTGGAGAATGTACCAAACTTGGAAAAATATGCAAGCAATTTATTTTACAGCAAGTATCTTCATGTCACGAATTTATGTCAGTTTAATTGAGAATAATGCCTGATAGGTAATTTGAAAAAAGGTACATAAGATATGTGTGGGTGTCTGTGCAGCCCCAGCTGATAGCTACTGAAAAAACACAATAAAACTAATTTGACCAAACTGCACCAAATCCACACCAAATGTATACCAGAATGCCGTGAGAACGGCTATTTACGATACCGTGTTCTTCGATTCATCGTGTTCTCGGGGTCCATTTTCAGCCTGGGAATTTCTCTAGACATAATGAGCTGTCCGATATTCATACAAAACCCACTTTACGACAGATTGCAACACCTCACCAGAGTCCAGATTACAGCTGTCTGGACTCCGGAGCTCACCTGAGATCTGGACTGGCTCCGTCTCGGCGGTCTGGTAGAACATCACCAGGCCCGACACTCCCTCGTCCGTGCCCGCCTGGATGACAGCCTCTGCCTGGCGTGACGCCGACACCTGAATCGAACCCAACCGGCGGTGGGAGTGGATGAGAAGGGTGGCAACAGTTGTCGGCACATTTTTAAGCCTAACTTGTAATATAATTATTTTGTAAATATCATGACTTGCGTTGCTTACATGAAGCTATAGACGATATTCTTGACAGATTGCTATATTGCATTGTGAGAGTGAACCAAAAAGATGGCTGCAGGCTATTATGCGGACGAAGCAAATTCCGTATTTTTATATGAAAGAGATTTGACGTATTCACATCTGTTACGCGGGCCTGACCTCGATCGCGAGTGCCAATTGGCCTCGAGGGGCGGCACGTGTCCGTCAGTGATTGTGGCAGGAGTAGGTAGCGCTTATTGAATAGCTTAACTGCAATTGAATTGCTGAATGGACATCACGACAAAGTGGACATCCAACTTTGGATATTCAAAAGTAGCTGCACTCTTTTTCCGGTAAGAACAGTGGACAGTTATAGATCGTGTAAGGTAAGCAAAATATTTTTCACTGTTCCATTCACTCATCGTGCGTGTTTCCTCGGATCAAGGAATTGACCTTCCGACTAAATTATCCCAGTGCTGTTTTCTATAGAGAAGACCACAAATGTCAGTACATACAATAGAATTTATGGCGCGAAAAAATCCGTTTGGGTACGACGTTAACAAATCTATACACGCACATTCAATCATAGACCTCTGTACACCAGACGGTGACCTCAAAGCAAGCATGCATTATATTGACGGTAAGTAAAATGAATATTTCATCGTTATTGCTACTCACCCGGTCAGCTACCAGTGTGAAGAGAACCGCGCTGAAACAGACGCGAAAGGGTGAAAGGAATTCCTAAAGCAAACCGTGAGGGTTAAAGTGCTACAGATTTAATATAACTAAGCTTCAATGACTAGTTATCATTGGGGCAAGGAGAGGACGTATACTTACCAAATGACAAACTTCATGTTTGACTCCATTGGACGATTTATGCCCTCGAACACGCCAAACAGCGATCTGTTGAATGCGGCATACATATTTAGTGCAAATTTTTAGGCCATACGCACATTGAAGCTTCCAACATAAAAAGTCCTTTGGTGTGCTTTAAGTGAAAAAGCAAGCTACATTGCTTCTCTGTTGCAGACAATAGCCATCTTGTACGCAAATATCAACGCGAGAGGTGTTATTTATGCTTAGCAGTAACAAATTGCATCTGCTTTTTTCAAATGTTTGCAAAAAACATACGCTGAAGTGGCTGCTAGCAGCTCTCACAGTCTGCGTATACTTACTATACGGCAGAACGTGCTTTGACTGTCTGGAGCGGAAGCAGTCGTGCGTATTTGTATCCTAATCTGAACAGCTGCTGCGATTCTCACGAGAAAACTACGCAAAGAAAGCATGACTCGCATGTGAAATGTGCAGCTGTGTTTGATTCTGGAATGACAAGCCAAATGTGCTGTGACAATGCTCTTTAAAGCAGTGAAATGTAATATGAGCGACACTCAGAGCCTGGTAAGATCCTGCGCGGACGGCGAGTGTAGAAAACTGGTACACTTCCTTTGAAGAATGAAGATGGTCTGATCTAATCCCAAGATGATGGGAAGAACGACTGAGTTCATGATGAGCAAAACTTCATGGGAGTGAAAAAACTTTGCTGCCAACTTTATGAAAACTCGATTTGAATTTACATCAAGACCGTTCACCGTCTTCCGTGCACCGCTACTTTCGTTCCCGCCCATAGATGTCACTAGTGGTGGGCGCCTGCATCTATACTGTGCCGCATGGCAGGAGCTGAATTAGGCTCAAAAGTAGGCGGATTGTGACAGACATGGAGCCGGCAAGATGGTCAAATTAGGCATGCTGATGAAGAAATCTTGGCCGAATCCGAAATCGGATTTCTAATAAGCTTGAACTTTTTATATTTTTGTGAACTGCTTACATTTCATCGCGCATGACACGATCACCCGCCGATGAATATTCTCGGGCTGGCAAACGACGGTGTCACCTTACCTTTGCGTGTCATGTATGTAACGTACACAACGCACATTTCTATAAATAATCTCAGCTCTCACTTCCTACGTCACACAGCGAAACCGTACCGAGCTGTGTTTCCGTTACGTAAAAAGTGACCGATAACATAGGTGCTTCCGTCGTGTCAGCGTTTCTGACCCGTGGGACCTGCAGCATACGCGGCCGTATTATACAAACGGACCAGAGTGGCCAACTGAGGACATGTAAGGACACTTCTTCACAGCTCTCTCCCTCTCTCTCTCTCTCTCTCTCTCTCTCTCTCTCTCTCTCTCTCTCTCTCTCTCACTCTCTAATTCTGTCTCTTTCCATGCTCAGTCAGTCCTCACCTTTCCTCAGAGGACGGTGATGTACATCTGGTCCTCTCTCCTCACGATGGGAGGACGGGGGGCCCTCGGTACCCCCAGGACCAGTCCCCCGTTTGCCGTGCGCCGCCGGTCGACTGAGGTCTGTTCTGCCGTCCTCTCTGGCTGGACTGATGCTCTGTGAAATATCACAGTTTTGATGAGGATAGTTTAAAGATATGCAATTAAATGCACGTTTACCCGCAATTTAGGCCGTGTTTTTAGTTTTAGGTTTAAAACCGTTTGCACCAGTGTTCAGTAAAGGAAGCAATTTACCTATTCGCTGATGTTTTTGAACTTACTGCGTTATTGGCGCTGTATACAATCCAGTTTGCAACTATGTTGTTACTGTTCATTATATCGCAGAAGAAGAAAAAAATGTGTGGCCTCCTAATCATCAAGTCAAAACGTCGCCATCTATATTATTTGCCATCTGTTATGTACAGGTCCGTACCCTCGAGCGTCGTTGACAGATGCGGACGACGTCAGTTGGTATCGACTGCCGGGCGTCTCAGCAGTGTGACAGGAGCAGCAGCGGTGGCCGGTCAGTCCGGGAGGGCGCGGTCCGAATCGAAACATGGGCCATCGGATCTGAAACACGGGCACCGAATCTGGGTCACGGGTCATTGGATCTCAAACACGGACCATTGCATCTCAAACGGTGCAATGGTCTCAAACGGTGGGTGAGCGGCGGATCTGAAACACGGCCCGTCGGATTTGAAACAGGGACATCGAATTTAATCAATTCCAGCCAATATCGTCGACGTGACGATCCACGATGGACATCAGCAGAAGATAGATAGTGTAAAGATGCAACTCAAAGCTGCTTTATCTCCCCTGTAGTCTCTAGAGATTGGAGAACGAGTCTTCTGTATGCGCTATAACTCTCTTTCCGGCCTTACGTACGCTGTGACTCTCGCTCGGGAGTCGGGGTCGGGGCTGGTGCAGGGTCTCGGGCAGCAGCAGTGCAGCTCCAGCTCCCAAACCGTGCAGGCCAGCCAGCGTCGCCAGCCGCCACTCCGGCTGTAAGACAACACCGGTTGCAACCACTTCAGTCAGTGGGCTAGGTGACTTCCCGACAAGATGCTGAATACTGCTGAGTGAACGTTTTTAACCCGCGAGTTGCTGGGGGGGAGTTAAACGCCCCCACTTTTTTCGCCGGGCCATAGCATAAAAACGGCGCGCCGCAGGCGCGCCAAATTTTGAGTACCTGTAGGGAATTGATTGAAGTTTATTGTGACAAAGTTTTAAAAAAATCGGTCGGAAAATTTTTGAGATATCGAGGTTTTAGTGACGTCATGATTTCTGAGTTTTCGACCAAAAACGGCATATGTTCAAAAAATCATATAAAATCACAGAATAGACATGCAGACATGCCGTAAAGGCCATTAGACTGCCAATACCATGACCAATCAAATGGCTGTCTTCGATTATTGATTATCGTTCCGCATTTTCCAAAATCTTGAACTGAATCTTGGCAATTTCTCGTGACTTCTTCACGACCATGATACATGCATTTCTTAAATTGAACTTTTTGAACTAAACACGTACACATATGATAAAATGAATGTCACCATCGTGTTCTACGCCCAAAATTACCCAAAAAACATGTGTCACAGGCTGCGAATATCAGTTTTGATTTTTGGGGATATGTGCCTACCCGGTTGACCTGACCTTGACCCTGACCTATGGTTGACTGACCCCTACATGGAACTGACACTCTTGTAGGCCTTATATGAAGGATTGTGCACCGTTTTGACGAGAGTTTATCACGAGAGGCGCCCATTGCGAAGTCCTGAAGTCCATGCTACTGAAAGCCCGATTTCAGGTGTTTGCCCTGACCTTGACCCGATCTGTGACCTCAAAATTCAACTGTAAAGTACTCATCTGAAGCGTCTCGTCGCGCTCTTTCGTTTGCCGCCTCGTGCGTTTCGCTGCGCCTATTGGTTCTCGAGTTATCGGCTGGGGGCGTTTAACGCCCCCCCCCCCCAGCAAACGGTGGGTGGCGAAATACCCCAGCAACTGCCGGGTTAAACAAGGTTTTACGCTGCTCCTGATCACATGTGAAACTTTTTATGCTGCATGGCTGAACGGATGGTCAGCTGCTAATTTATCGTGCCAACAACCAAAATCAGGCGTAAAAACTGGTAGCTACACTCACCATCAGGAGGTTTAGGGCCGGGAGTGCGGTGTAGCCCAGCAGTTGCGCTGAGCGCAGCAGCAGCAGGCCGTGGCTGGACAGCAGCGAGGGCAGCAGCCGGCAGCCGGTCAGCAGCAGCAGCAGCAGGCTGATCTCGCTCAGCAAGGCCAGTGTGAACGTCAGCGCGTCTAGAGTGAGATTTGACGTCACTGAGAACGGAGGGGGGCAGCTGTCGGTAGAAATGTCGTTACTTTTTTTGGAGAGAAAGAAATAAGCACAATGCTTGCAATTTATTCCCAGGAGTCCAATCTTTTATTTTTTCATGATGTCCTAATGAATTAAAGACAGGAGACAGGCAACTGAATTATAAATGAGTGCCTGTTTATCGAGCTATTATCGCCCATGTGGCTTACCGCGTCTCTGGAGCGAGGCAGCCAGACCGCAGACGGCCGCGCTGAGACCCAGGCTGACCAGCAGGCAGCTGCGTCTGCCCGCTACCCGCGCAGCTGCCCAGGCCAGCGGACAGGCCAGCAGCTGGGCAGCTGCCAGCAGCAGCAGCGGCCGGCGAGCGCCCGGCCAGCGCGACAGCGACTCTGCTGCCGCCTGGTGGTAGGTCAGTGAAGACAGCAGTCTGCGGGAACGGAGGCAGGTGGTGCTCACTGCTCAGGTATTATACGGGATGGAGGCAAGCTTTGAGCTGTTCATAGCGTTTTATCAAGCAAGATGCCCGGAAAGTTGGGTTAGCTGCTGCTATGGAAAAGAAAACTGTGTTCATACTGACACTTAGCATGGATTTGGTGTCGTTCCGTACTCACATGAGAAGGAATAAAGTTGCCACTCTCCGCTGCTGTCGATTCGAAAAGAACAGCTCCTCCCACGATAATACGATTTTTTCGGAATTATCCTAAAAAGGAAACATTTAATTACGGTCATTCATGGGCTCAGTATATAAGAAAAGTAAAGCATAGCGGGTCTGAAAGCAAAGCAAGACATTTTAATAACATCAGAAGAAAATAATATTTCGCCGCTGCCGGCGACCTCAAGCTAACCATTCACGTAAGTACCACACCTTCCCTCTTCCCCGAGTCTGTCAGTGATTACCTGCAGCTGTTCGGTGAGGTAGCCGGCGTCCGTGGGCTGTCCGTTAACCCGTGCCATCCGCTCCAGAAGCCGGTGCACCTCTGACCAGTAACCCCGGCTCACCAGCCACACCGGCGACTCAGGCATCACGCTGAGAGTATCGGGGAAAGGTGGGATGATCTTTGATATCTTACCATGGTATAATGAACTAAACAGGCTGCATTGTGTAACAAAAGGTAGACTTTGGTCGCATTGGGTGTAAATTGGTCCACAAATATATTTCACTGAGTGGGCAATTTTAAATGTCCTTAACTGTACGTTATACACTTGAATTTTGCTACCTTTTAAGTTAAGAAAAATTTCCTTTGGCTCTTCCTTTCTCTTTCCCTCCCTACTTCCATCTATCTTTCTCTCCCTCTCTCCCTCTCTCCCTTTCTCCCTCTCTCCCTCTCTCCCTCTCTCCCTCTCTCCCTCTCTCCCTCTCTCCCTCCCTCTTTCTCTCTCTCCCTCTTTCTCTCTCTCCCTCTCTCTCTCTCTCTCTCTCTCTCTCTCTCTCTCTCTCTCTCTCTCTCTCTCTCTCTCTCTCTCTCTATCGCTATCTCTCCAACATACCACCAGTAAAGCAGAAACACCGCGCAGGGCAGCACCACCGCCAGTACTGCCGTGCTCCACTGTCGAGTCAGGGTCACCACTCCGGACAGCAGCACCACCGCACCAGAGGTCACCAGACGCTCGGTCACGTGACCCAGGTGGTGAGACGAGGCGGGCGTCAGCTCCAGCACTGGGGGAGGGAGCACAGGTCACGTGACTGATTTGATAAACAGAAGTGCATTATCTTCGACACTGGGATCGAAGCCATATGACAAGGGACAAGGGACCAAAGCAAAGACCTTCTGTTGTAAAATCTAGAGCATCGTGAAGGATTCGTGAATGGGTCTTTTTCGTAAAGTCATTCAGCATGACTGACTTATGGGCTCACATAATTAAAAGTCATAGAGACCACCAATGGCATGTGATGAACGTGTTGAAGGATGGTACCGACACTGACCTAGACTGAGCTGGTTGTACGCCAGAGCTCCGGCGGCAGCTGCCACTGCGGGTGCGGTCAGCAGCAGGCAGAGGGGTCTCTGGCAGGTCACGGAGACGGCTCCCGTGGTCAGATAGAACAGGAGGGAGAACAGGAACGCCCAGCGGCGACTCACCCTGTCGGAGAGAGAGGGGGAGAAGAGAGAGAGAGAGAGAGAGAGAGAGAGAGAGAGAGAGAGAGAGAGAGAGAGAGAGAGAGAGGAAGGGTGAGGGAGAGAGAGAGAGAGAGAGAGAGAGAGAGAGAGAGAGAAAGAAAGAGAGAGCGAGAGAGAGAGTGTGTGAGAGAGAGATGGAGCGAAAGAGGGTCGAAAAGAGTAAATTTTAATTTTCCCGTTTGTAAATATCGTCAATCCTGTAAGGCAGTTTGTATGGAATTATCTACCAGCTAATATATCTCGCTAACCGACTCATCATCACCATAAGTCTCTCAGTGAAAAACTTGACTAGTCTATTGAGTATTGACACATTAGTAAGTCCTCTGACCTGTTCCTACAGGAAAAGACCACGAGCTGTCCGACGGCGGCCCCTGCTCCGACCCCGGCCACCAGGGCAGATGTCAGCTGACTGTTCTCGCAGACCAGCTCAAACTGTGCCGGAGAGAGAGGGAGAGAGAGAGAGAGAGAGAGAGAGAGAGAGAGAGAGAGAGAGAGAGAGAGAGAGAGAGAGAGAGAGAGAGAGAGAGAGAGAGAGAGAGAGAGAGAGAGAGAGAGAGAGAGAGAGAGAGACGTTTTTTCGTGAAGAAAACCCAGCAAAAGGTTTGTGAATGTATAAGTTTGGCAAAAGTTAGACACACAACGTTCCTTTTTAAGCCGTTCATTTGTGACTGTTATCCGTTTTTACTTTGCTGTAAATTACCGATTCTTATTTCTCGCGTTGTTGTCAGTCATCGAATGTCGTCATTGTTCCTCGTGACATTATAAATGCCCTTCACACCCCGCCGGCCCCTCACATATTCCCGGAACATTCTGCCGTCAGCGGCTGACCTTGGCCATCAGCGTCACCCCCCTCTCCGGCTCGTGGCGCCACCCGTGCCGACACGGGGTCACCGGCCACGGGGTGGGGAGCGGGGCCGGGCCGGACGAGTTGTCCCGCGCCGTCACTGACGTCAGCTGACGCACCAGCCGGGTGTAATTGACGTCATACATCTGACAGGAGCTGAACTCCGGCGAGGTGACGTCACCGTCCCCGGTCAGCGGGATACTGGAAGCGAAAATGAAAAATAGATGGACGATAGTAATGGGTATGGTGGTCAGAAGTACTGCGATTGACACAAAAATGTACTAAGTTCAGAGACTAGCGCTAAGACGTCATATCAGGCAATAACGCCATGCATTTTGGCGAGAGGTTTGGTTGGAATGATACATTTCTGCTTGGCAGCTAATTAACTAGTTATGAATATTGCAAAAAAAATAATGCATTTGTATTTATTGAATCGACATGCAATCTGTTGACATTTGGACTGTGAACGTTCGATAAAACATGGTTGTATTGATGGTTAAGTTCTGCATCACAACTCGTTTATTTCCGAAAGCTCACCTATATCTCTTGGCCACTGTCTCGTTGATCCCTGCGTGCTCGAGCTCGGGCACCCGGCACCAGTGCTGCCCTCTGTCGCTGACCTGCAGAAGCACTAGTAGCGTATACAGGCCGACAGGGAGCGCTCCCGGCAGTAGGAGGAGCCAGCCCACCAGCCTCTGATACCTTCCAGCCCCTCCAGCGCGGTACAGCGCCTCGTCCAGCTCCATTCAAGCGGATACCTATAGCGCCTGGTGGATCCAAAACGCGTGAGTAATCGTTATTGTTCAGCGTTAAGTTACTGAAAATCTGACAACAACGGCAGGTACCGAAGGTTCTTTTTGTTTTTGGCTACGACTCAAGCTCCAGCCTCGCACAAACATGATGTCTTCGCGTCCTTATGCCCTCAATATTTTTTTTCGCACTGTCCCTAGTCTTTTTCATTCTTTCTCTTACTCCAGCCTGTTCCAGAATCGGGATCTATCTGACCATCAGCATTTACGGATGAGTAAGATTGTCTGGACATAAAACACATGACCAGCCCCGCAAAGGTTTATTGATGTCTTTACCACTCGACATAAAAACCGTCATGCAAGTACCTACACACTTAAAATATCTCTTCCGTCATCGATTCAAGGCACAGCATGAAGTGACCGCTTTCCAGAAGGTAGCCAGGTGATCTTAAGTGGTTCTGTTATGCGACCGAACGATCATTCAAATCTAGTTATTCGACAATTTTATGCCAAATAAAAAAATTTGCACTTTGTATACTGTCTGGAAAAGTTCGTGCTTTATAGTACATTGTACATACGACATAGCACCACCCTTGATGCAATCCATGAATGATGTCTTCGCCATCAAACCCGCGATAAAACGTAGCGATTTATTGCACTGCAAAGTAGCCAACCACTCTTTAACTCATCCCCGTCCTTTGTGGAAGCCGATGTTGTAGCCGTAGCCGCAGGTTTTCTGGCACGCCCGGCGGCTCTTGAAGTTGTTTCCGTTGGAGCGGCAGCCTCCCCAGATGAATTGCTCGCATCTCCGTCTGTACGGGTTGTAGTAGTAACGAACAAAGTACGCCTTGCACGGTCCTGGGCAGGGTTTCCGGTAGCAGACTCGGGGTTTGCTCTCCGCCATCAACACCAGGAGTAGAAGAATCACTACCAGTGGCAGTATCACAAAAGGCGTCTTCATGGCCTCGACAATCCGTTCCTCTCCCGCGACGGTAGACGGAAGAGCCGTTTTATTCTCAGTTGTTCTCTTCTCTGCAGGCTCGCTGGCCTCTTCACGGCCTCAGCTTTGCAACCACAGCCTCAGATTGCAATGCACAATGCACATCCTTATATCTACGGCGAACTAGGTCACCCTGTCTGTGCCAGGAGGGTTCGTTTGAAAACGGACGACATGTCACTCGACGAGCGCCCAAAAGGTTACATCGTAGAGTGCAGGTGCCACTGCATTGAAATTGAATACCAAGCTATATGTACTACATACAAGCTAGAACATACAGAGGGAAGGACGGGCTGCTCATTCCTTCTTCATGGCCTCTACGATCCGTTCAACCCTCCGTATAATTGGCCGACAGACATGATATACATAGGTACCAGGGATGCGGAGCCGGAGCCGGAGTCGGAGCCGGAGCCGCCGGAGCCGGCATATTTTGCCCGGAGCCGGAGCCGGAGCCGGAGCCGTGAAACAATATAGCCCGGAGCCGGAGCCGGAGCCGGAGCCGCCAAAAAAGGGGGCGACTCCGGCTCCTTTTTATTTTTTGAAGAGGAAAAAAATAATTGACCTAGCTCGGTTTGACAGTACAATGCAGTAAAACATATGGTACTATTGGTCTCAGGATAAGGGCCCAGGCGACCTGTAGTTTTGATGCGGTGAATACCCTCACCCTCGCCACAACTCGAGTGGGGGTGGCGCTGGCTGGGAGGAGGGGTGCACTCGGCCCGAGTTGTGGCGAGGGTAAGGGTATCCATCGCATCAAAACTACAGGTCGCCTGGGCCCTTATCTTGAGACCAATTATAGTACGTCATGGGCCATCAAGTGAATGAAAAAAGCCGAATATCCCCAGTATCCCACAGTACGCAATCAACTTCCTGTCTGCTCCTCCCCCCCCCCCCCCCACACACACGTCTACTGCATCCCCAGAACATGAGGACCGGTCATCAGGTGACGGCCATTGTTTTGAAGCCAGTGCAGTGGACTGCGACTCCCAGCAACGTCTCTTTTTCTTCCACCCGTATTAAATTGATTGCATAGGGGATGTACTGAGTCGGAGCCGGAGCCGCCGGAGCCGGACCATTTTACTCGGAGCCGGAGCCGGAGCCGGAGCCGCCATAGCATTTCACCCGGAGCTGGAGCCGGAGCCGGAGCCGATTTTTTCTCCGGAGCCGGAGCCGGAGCCGGAGCCGTCTGAAATTTCCACGGCTCCGCATCCCTGATAGGTACCTTTTCGATCAGCATTATTGAGAACAACAGATCACGAAAATGAAACATTCGCTGCCCGCCTTAGACATGTAACCGCAGGTTGTTTGAAATAGACAAATAGTTAGTAATCGTTATTTGAAATCGTATTTCACCAAGACCTTCTTTTCACTAGCAATGTATAATACAGGGCCTTTTTTTCATTTTGCACAGCTCACAAATATAAATAAAATATGGCACGCAGGTTTTGCGACACTCCCAGAAAGTTTTAAAGTTGTTTCCGTTGGCGCCGCATCTACCGTAGGTGAACAGCCTGCAGCCCCTGCCTCGCTGGTAGTACACCTTTTTGCGTTGTTCGATGGCCAATCGTCATAACCATTTCGGCATCAGTTTGGACAAGCGTCATACAGAATAACCCATCGGCGATGTGCATCACTGTTTGACGGTCGGCAAAACAGGCTGGACTCCATTTAACCATTCTGCATAACTCTTTGTCATTGAGCACAATGTTCGTCATAGGCAAAACACTTTGTCAGATTGTCATAATGCTTCGACATTTCACAAAATGGTTAGTCGATGTGCAAAATTCATCGGTACTGTGCGTAAACAATGACTGTTTATTTAAAACTTTCGTCAATGATCAAAATGTCAATGATGTAGTGCTTATCTAGCCATATTCAATGTTTAACGTTAATCACGCATTCAGGGATGAGGCTTATGACAGTTCCAGCGCAATTTGCAACCAATTAACCATTGAATTCCGAAAAAGGCAGTTATGCCATAGCTACGAGGAGACTGCCGGCGCCATACCGAGTAGGCATGTAGGTTCTTGAGCGTCGGACTCCTAAACGCTTCGATACAAACCACGAAGTCGGCCGTCATTATCGCGTCACTGCCCGTGCGATGTCATGGGACAACGCCTCGGGCGGCCGCGCCGGTCGGACTCGCGAGGGAATGGCTGACAGATGGCAAGCCGGGTCCTGCCGGCCGGACACCTTGGTTTTTGGGGCGGGGCTGACTTATCCAGCCTGTTGCCTGTTCCTTGGTGTTTGAGGCGGGGTTAACTTATCCAGCCTGTTGCTCTGTTGCCTGTCCATTTATCAATCAGCCGATAACATGTCAGCTATACGTCCACCTACATTGTACCTATGGCGCTCATGAACGCTACCGATTTTTTATGTGGATCAATGGTCTACGAGTTTCGCCACCTATGCCTCGCACTGCACTGTATAAACGCGGTCATATTTATACTTCTCTGTAAAGGGGCGATCTGTTTTTAGTTTTGACGAAATGTTATGAGGAATGCCGAAATTAGCATGGGGATGTTTTGGTGAACGACGAAGGGATATTAACGAATGACGAAGCATTTATCCAAATCGTCAAAGGTTTTGCCGGAACTCAATCAGTTATGGCGAATAGCGAAGGTAATACCAACTGACGAACTGTGGAGTGGGATCAGCATTCCGTTTTGCCCATATGCTGAAGGTTTTGCCGGAATGCCTCTCACTGGCGCCACCTATATGCTGATCGGACGAATGGGTTTTGCTGATTGGCCATCGAACAACGCAAAAAGGTGTAGTAGTGGTAGCGGCTGACGCTAGCCCTACACGGTCCGGGCCGTTTTGGTTCCAGACAGCGCGGTGGTATTTTCACACGGCGCGATAGCACGTCGATTCCCTGGGCCACCACCAGCAGTAGCACCAGCAGCATCAGTGGCTTCATGTCTGCTGGAAGTTAGATCTCACACGTAGCGAATGGCTGCGCCTCGCCGGTTTTCAGTCTCGTGTAGTGGAATTACATGTAAGAATCGTAATATACCGTCGGGTCTTATATCTGCCGCGAGAGGGTCTGTTTTACCCGTCGGAGGTCAGTTTGACACCTGACGGCCAAAAGCAGGATGTTTGTCGCTCCGGGTTCACGGTAAACGTTCCGACCTTTGAAGTTTAGGGGGACTGGCACATCATTCATGTGAACGAGGGAACGTCACTCATACTGTTATGTAAAAAATACAACCTTTTTCTATTTTTTTTATCAACATTTCAAAAATTTTAGGTACATGCCACGAAACTAAAAGGAAAACGAATGTTGCTAACCAGGAGCAAGTGCAAGGATGAATATTGAATACTTTGGCCTAAGCGTTCATCTGTCTATGGCAAAGCATGTAACGACTTTCATTTTTTTGGTACCGTCCAGAGCTGATCCTTGAGTTCATGCCTATAGCTCCGACGCTTTCTAGCTGTATTGGGCCATGGTAGCGGGCGCTTTGATCACTCAATGGGTGATTACTAGTTGCCGTACGGGTAAATATTACTTACCAGCGTATAAGGGAATGCTCGTACGTTTGAGACTTACCGGTGTATGTGCCCGACCTCCTACACTTCTCGCAGCCAGTGCCGCCACCGGTCGCGTGTCTCCCTCCCGCCGAACTGTTGGCCAAGACCCACTCTACCTCGGGGAACGTCGGCGGTACAGTCAGTTGGGTGCTGACGACCTCAGCCTCAGTGTCTGGCGCCCGCCCACCGCCCACCGCCCACCACCGCCACCGCCGCCGCCACCTCCCGATCCGCCCCAGACACTCCGGCGCGCCACGGCGCGGCGGCGACGGAAATGGCGCGTCTCTCGCGCTTAGCTGGCGCTTCCGCGACAAAGCCGATAGGCTAATGCGGCCCGGCGAGACGGTGCCGGGCAGGGGCGGGGTGTCTCGCGTCATCAACTCCCCTCTACAAACGACCGGCGCGTCTGCCGGGACGATCGCCGGGTGTCGATGGCGGCGGCAGATATTCGGTGATCGATTGATAGACAGACTGTCAGATCTGCGATTTATCAGACAAATAGCAGGCT